ATCCTCACAACTGGACCAATAAGCAACATCATGATTAAAGGAGAAAAAGATTGCAGTCGTCAAGGATTTCATTTTACTTGAGTCCACAATCAACACCCATGGAAGCAGCAGTCAAGAAATCAAATGACATATTTCATCGGGCAAATCTGCTCCAAAAGACTTCTTTAAAGTATTGAAAAGCAAACATGTCACTTTGAGGACTAAGGTGCGCCTGACTCAAGCCATGGTGTTTTCAACCGCCTCATATGCCCGTGAAAGCTGGGCAATGAGTAAGGAAGACCGAGGAAGAATTGATGCTTTTGAATTATGGTGTTGGCGAAGAGTATTGACTCTACCATGGACTGCCAAGAGAATGAACAAATCTGTCTTGGAAGAAGTACAGTCAGAATGCTGATTAGAAGGATGGCGAGACTTCGTCTCACATACTTTGGACGTGTTATCAGGAGGGACCAGTCCTTGGAGAAGGACATCAGGCTTGGTAAAGTAGAGGGGCTGCAAAAAAGAGGAAGAGCTTCAAGGAGATGGACTGACACCGTGGCTGCAATAATAGGGCAGTGTTTCGTTCTGTTGTACATACGGTCGCTATGAGTCGGAACCAACTTGACGGCACCTAACGACAACAATAACAGCAATAATCTCACATCATCAGTTTAGGAAGCTAAAACCAGACCCTATATACACAGAAAGTGCTTAGCATAGACATTCTGTGTAGAACGCTCAGAAAAAAATATATATATTCATCTATAATCTTCAAAGTCAGATATTTTAATTGAGGGAAGAAAATGGACAGCTTTCGTTGAGGGCATTTACACTTTTAGCCCAGCCTTGACTATAAATAATTTCCTCCTACTTGAGCTATATTCTGTCTCTTCCGCCAGGGTCATAATGACAAATGTCTAGAGCCACTCAGACATCATGTCACAGGACAGGAATTAGTGTGGCGTTGCTCTTGGCTGAGTGATGTTTGGAACCCAGGCTGAGCCTCTCATTTCCTGACAAACAGAAGGCAGAAGAGGGGATGCCACATCAGGGCCCACGCGTCGCCGCCACTTCCACATCACCCATCCAGAACGCCCAGTCCCCACTGCACGTACACTCCCCGCCCTTCCTGTGGCCAGACAGAGCACTTCACAGTGAGGGCCAGTGCTACTTGCAACCTCTGCTCCTGCTCCTGGGTGCGGGGCCAGCACTTCACCCAGATGCCACCAGGTCACCTGATATGCCCAGATGACTGCAAGCCACAAATCTCTTGCACTAAGAGCTGACTTCTTTCACTTTTTGCCACAAATACACTAGTCTTAGCATTGCTCCAGCATTGTGCAGGTGTGGACATTACTTGCAAGGAGTCCTGGTAGCACAATAGTTAAGCACTCGGCTGCTGACCATGAGGTTAGTGGTTTGACCCAGTAGCAGCTCCATGGGACTACAGACCTGGCAATCTGCTCTGTAAAGATTACAGCCTAGGAAACCGTATGGGGCCGTTCTATCCTGTCATATGGAGTCTCTATAAGTCAAATTCGACTCAACTGCACCCAACAACAACAGCAGGCATTACCTGATATGGTGAAACAAGCCTTAGTATGAAAATTGGGAGAGCAGAGCTTCAGTCCCACTCTGCTTCTAATTACTCCATTATCTGACAAAGTCATTTAATTTCTGTGAGTTGGTTTCCTCTTCTGCACAATGGGGATAGTGCTGGTATTTGCATGAGTATAGTAATACATAGTCACACCTATGCATGAGTGTCATGACTAATAAGGGCTATAAGAGCTTGCGTTAATGGAAGTGAGAGTGAGGGGCAAGTTGTAACATATTGGACAAATGTTAGGAGGAGGAGGAAGAAGATGACGTGGTACTTTCATAAGAGAGATTGAAAAGATAATGAACTTACCTTTCTCTGTGAGGGGAGGCAGAATAACCGAAGGACAAAAACTAGGAACATCATTCTGAGAATCTGAAAAGAAGAGAAAGGCAACCTTTTAGCTCTTTCTCCCCCTTGACATCATTGAGTTGTGAAGGCATCAATCCAGGTACAGTATGATGAAAGTAAAACCGGAGGGATGTTTTGCAGAGGCATGTAATGATGGACGGCGGACATGCAGATGAGCGATGCCTCACAAATGCCCAGCAGGCTTTACTAGTGATCTCTCTTACTCAAGGTCATTTAATCCCTACAGCAGACCGTTATTAGAGAGACATGATGATTATTCCAGCTTGATAGAGGAGGACACTGAGGCATAGGGAGGTTGAGGACCTTGCCTAAAGTCACACAGCCGGCAGGTGGTAGAGCCAGGGTGTGAATGGGGTTCCTTGGCTCCCAGTGCTTTTGCCTTTAACTATCCCCCTTTGCTAGAAACAAAAACAAAAGCCAAACCCATTGCCTTCGAGTAGATTCTGACGCATAGCCACTCATATGACAGAAAGAACAGCAACAACAAAAATGATGAAGAACATGACTCTGCAATCAGATTTCACATTGACTCCCAGCTCTACCACTTACCCACTGTGTGATCTTGGACAAGCTGCTCAGCTAGTGCATACGTGTTGAATGAATGAATGCTAACCTTTCTGAGATCTACACAATGGTATGTGGGAGCCAGCTTGCATGGCTCCCAAGAGCCAATGGTGCCCATTTCTCCCTACTTCTGCTTTCAGTAAGATCAAGTTGGTAGTTTGAAATGGGTCACGGGGGGAGAAGGTACACCATGGAAAATGCAAACAGTACAAGTCAGTCATTTCCCCAACCCACACCAGTTGTTGAGTATTTAGCAGCAGGCATGGAAGGTTGCTAACAAGAGGCCCTATCTCAAGGGGGTTAAATGAGATTTTGCATGCAAAATGCAGCCCAGGGCCTGGAGCAAACTCCCATGCTAAGGAAATGGTAGAGGTTGTCCACTGACGATAAAGAGCGGACTGTAGACTCAGCTGCTACCTACATGTGGTAGCTTCTATGTGGGTTGAGACAGGCAAGCTCATAACTGGAAGAGCGTGTCATTTTCTTTCCAGGTTCATTCCGTATCTAGCATTGCTCCAGGGTCCGAGTACATTTACAGAGAAAAGAGGAACTGTGAGGCATCTATCAGTTTCTTCTAGAAGTCACATTTGATTTGGTTTACAAACCAAAGACCTACCCCACTTGCAGGCAGCACACAACTGTGGGCAGAACGGGCAGCACTGGTTCCCGTCAAAGAACAGAGAGTGCAATGCCCAGTGGCCAGCTGCTTCCAGCTGCCTGGGCTCTGGGCCCCTGTTTGACCATAGAGCGGCCACTCACACCCCATCTCCACCCCCCCCCCACCGCCACCCCCACTGCCATCCTAGCCCTCTGGGCTCTAAGAACATTTCTTCTCTGGGCCCTACTGCCAGGAAAGGGCTACACACACCCTCGTTTGCATTCCCAATTGCTTAGCCTCAGCCTCTACAGCTCTGAGGTGAGAAATGTGAACTTTCTGTTCACTCCTGGACAGCTAAGTCAAAGGCCCATTGCCACAGGCTCTTTGGAGTTTCCTCCTGGTCCTGCCTCACTCTAGGTGTGCCTTTCTCCTCCAGGGGGTCGCCTCATCTTTTGTTCTTTCTTAGCCCAGGTCCCAAGGGTATGCTGCAATTGCCTCCTGCAGGGCTCTCCCCTCTGTGTCCAGGAGGCCTGCAGGGCAGGAACTTTGTCTACCTCGTCTCTGGAACCCACGGCTTCTTTTCTCTTATGCCCTTTTATCTACATCCAGCTTGTCTCCAAAGTCGCTTTTGAATAATCTTTTGTGGAACAGAACTACTGTAATTATTCCCGTCACATACTCTCAAAGCACGCTGTAGATCCCACGAGAGTAACACCAGCTCATCATGGTATAACTCCGTTTGCAGAGAGAGGAAGGAACTCCGTGAGATGGGAACAGGAGTAGCACAAACCCTCATGGGGACTGAGTGGTTAATGCAGGGAAAACACTCCAGAGTTGCTTCTGACACATTGAAACACTTAAGAAATGTTCACTTTCCAGAATTTTGAATTCTCATAGAATCCAGACTTTCTGTAGCCATTGAGGCTGGATGAACTCCCGAAATTATTGCCCTGAGATAACCGGTAAACTTTAGACCAAAAATATTCCCTGAAGTCTTCTTTAAACCAAACAATAAGATTAGCTTAGTTAGTAAAGACTGCCTGTCTTGAGCACTGTGTTTTTTTTAAAGAACTATCTACATGGGATCAAACTGACAACAGCGACTCGAAAGGTTAGATGGGAATCTTAGGGGGTGGTGAGTTCATGTTAACAGGAAAGGTACGACTTGGAAAAGGAGGATGAGAATGGTTGTACAACTTGAAGAATGTAATCAGTGTCACTGAATTGTACATCTAGAAATTGTTAAATTGATGAATGTTCTGCTGCATATATTTTCAACAACAACAACAAAAATAAAATAAATTGTTTAAAAAAAAATGTTCATTTTCTTCCCTGTCTGCCTTCCTACACAGACTGTGGGCGGGGACTTCCACCCCCTTGAGCTTCCACAGAGCTTGACCCAGAGCAGGAGCTGAGGACACAGCAGTTTCTTTCCCTTTCTTCAGCAGTAGCTCCTCCAAAACGGGATAAAGTGTTACACCTCTTGTACAGGATTCTCAGCCTGGAGTCTAATCGCGAGTCCATTGTAATCACTCCATACAGGTGTCACTACACCAAGCCATCAAGGGCAAAATCTATTACTGAAATTTTTGGTAAAAAGTCCTCTGTAAAAAGTTAAGTCTTATACGCCAGCGCTTACTGAGAGGGGATAATTAGAATCCTACCCATCCTTGAAGGCTCAGATCTAACGGCTTCTGCTTCACGCAGCTTTTCCTAACCCTATAGAAGCTATGTCCTACTGTTGGGTGTGTGACTGTCTAATATAAAGATGGAAAAAAGTAATGACAACATTGTCTTGTGTGTTGGAATTTTTCTATAGGATACGGGTGTGATTTTGTCTGCTAGAGAAAATAGTATCCAAGACCATATGAATGTTCAGAATCTGGCTCGTGAATATGTTTTGGCTCACAATATATCATGAATCAAAAGATGATTTTGTAGTGCTCAAGCTGATCCAACCAGGAGAAGAGTCTAATTTATTAAACCAGTCCCCCTATGTAAAATTCCTTGCTGAGGTATTAGGAGGGGATGATCATAGAGTCTTAAGGCTCACCCCACCACCCACTTCTGATGACTTCAGGGCAAGGGACCCGGGAGACCCTGATTCTATGCTGGTGGGTAGCATGTGTTACACCATGTCCTTGTGACTATCGCACACTCAACCTTTCCCTGGTGCCCTCCTGAAATGGGAAGTAAAGAGCCACTAACACTGGGATCGGAGTTGCTGGGTGGTATAAATGTTTAGTGCACTCAGCTGCTAACCAAAAGGTTGGAGGTTCAAGTCCACCCAGAGACAACTCAGAAAAGCCTGAAGATCTACTTCTGGAAATGGGCCAATAAAAACCCTATGGAGCACAGTTCTGCTCTGAGACACAATGGGTCACCAGGAGTCAAAGTCAACTCCATGGCAACTGGTTTAGCACTGGGATGGCCATAGCCATGTGCTTCCCAGGTTGTTTTCGACCCAGGGGTCATGGATTTAAGAACAGAGACTGATGCCATTTTAACCTTTTTTCTTTTACTCCCCACACACCCAGACACTGAAAGCAGGCAGCACACAGAGGGAAAGACTGCCCTGTGGGGTCATTCCATGGCAATGAGCCAGGAGTATGCAGGAGGTGGGACCTAAGGCACAAAGGGGGGCCTACAGGAGCCTTTCAACATGGCTTCCAAGCAGAATTAATTTCTTGCTCCCATGTTCCCATAGACTTTATGTATAAGGCTTCATTTATATAGCCTATTATGCTATGTTGTTGTCGTGTGTTGATTCCAACTCAGCTGCTCTATAGGGCAGAGTAGAATTGCCCCATAGGGTTTCCTAGGTTGTGATATTTACGGAAGCAGATCTCCAGGTCTTTTCTCCCATGGAGTGGCTGGTGGATTCGAACTACTGACCTTTCACTTACCAGTTGAGCATTTAATCGTCATACCACCAGGGCTCTTTATTATGCTATAGTTAATTGTATATGCTCGTCTTTTCCCCAGTAGACTGGGAGCTGCTAAGGAAAAGGACTGTATCTTTTTCACCTCACTCTTCCCATTGTCCAGCACAGTATATGGCCCAGAGTAGACACTCAATACAGCTTCAAAGCTAGCCTTGTGATGTGAGAGACCAGCAGGAGAATGGTTTATTTTTGTGTGCGTGGATAACTCCTCCTTAGGCTGTGAGTGCCTTGAGGACCAGGGCCATGCCTCATTCACTCTCAGCCATAAAACAGTGATTTAGAGTCAGAAAGAACTGGGCTCAAGTTCTAACTCTGTTGTTTACAAGCTGTGTGACCCTGGGCAAATTACTTCACCTCTCTGAGCCTCTCTTTCCTCACCTGATGAAGACTGTGATGATTAAATGACATCATGCTTGTGAAATGCCTAGTATCAGGACAGACACGCAGTAGGATCCCAGTGAATAGAGGCTAGGTCTGTATCACAAGAGGCCCAGGCTCCGCTGATGCTCAGGCAATGTTTATTGAACGAGGACACCTCTGTGAGTTTTTAATTCCTGTCCTATAGTTCCTGGTCAAAAGCCTGGGTCCCCAATCTGTCCCCACAGACTTAATGTTGGAAAAAGTTAGTGCTCAGTGCTGTCAGACGAAAAGAAGCAGAACAGATGGAATGAGTTGGGAGGATGAGTATCGTGGTTTCTTTTCCTTACCAAACCCTGCCAAGAGGTTGTAAATACTCTGATCTGATTCCCATTACATTTCTGAACAAATGACTTATTTCTTAAGTTTCCTTTTACCCAACTCTTCCCTGAGCAACATGAAGATGGAAAATGGCATTTTTCAGCCTTTGGTGGGGTGAGGAGGTGGGAGGAGGTATGGGAGGACAGATGGGGAAGGAGGCCCTGAGGGTGAGAGATCCGTTCAGAGGCCCCTAAATGCTCATAGCCGACATTGGGTCTCCCCTGTCTTTGTGAGTTAAAGGGGGGAGACTGCTATCGATAGAACTGTCTTCCCTAAATAGAAACCCACTGAGGTTATTTAATTATACAACCCTGATTCTTTCCTTGAGGAGCCCTGGTGGCACAGTGGTTAAATGGTCAGCTGCTAACCAAAAGGTTGGTAGTTCGAACCCACCAGCCACTCCACGAGAGGAAGATATGGTAGTCTGCTTCTGTAAAGACTACAGCTTTGGAGACCATATGGGGCAGTCCTACTCAGTCCTATAAGGTTGATATGAGTCGGAATAGACTCACTCGACAGCAACGGGTTTTTTGTTTGTTTGTTTGTTTTTTTCGGGGGGGGGCGGTTGGATTCTTTTCTTAAAATAATTCAAGATGTTAAAATAAAAAGCCAATAGAACGAATTCAGATCAGATGGAGGCACAGGATGCTCAAGGTGAATATCAGTAGAGAAAATTCCATCCAGCCCAGTAATAATCACCTCCAAAAATAAATCTGCCAGGAAGCCAAGGAATGAATAGGGGACTCTTGGGACCATGAACAAGGGTCAAGGACCATATTCTGCCCAGAAGCCCTGGGCCTCTCAGGCTGTTGGATATGGCTTTGGAACAAGAGGCTCAGCCACCAACTGGTTTGGTTTGGTAGTTTATTAATTAATCTTTTAACAATGTATTATTTGCTAATCAGCTGAGTTGGGGGAAAACCAGTCGGACAAGGTGTCTGAACATTTCAATATCAGTCACTTATGGGATACAGAAGATCAGGAGGCAGCATCATAAGAGGGGAAGAGGGCCAGTTTGGGGGTCACCAGATTGGGGCTTGCAATCTGACTCCGCTTCTTACGAGCTGTGTGGTTTTGTAGAAGCAACTCCAACTTTCTGTGCCTCACTCTGCTCATCTTAAAATGGGAGTAGTTAAGGCTACTCCATAGGAGTGATATGAGTATAAACTGATGTAACCAATATAGAAGCCCTAGTATGAGTCAAACACACAGTAGGCACATGACAAATGTCAGTTCTCCTCGCCTTGCCCTCTCTGAGCAGCGTGTTGGGCTGGGTTATGTGAAGAACATGAAGGTCAAAGTCATGGATCTGTAAGAGTCCTTCAGAATCAGGCAGTCCATGACTCTAAGTGAAGGCCAGGAGAAGTCACAAGTGAGAACGGTTGGAGATACTGAACCTCAGCCCATCGTCCCCATTTTACATCTACTAAGACAGGGCTTTCAATCGTTTTGTGTCTTGGACATCTTTGTGAATTTGCTTCTGGAACATAGGGTAGGGTGGCTAGTCTCCAGGCAGTCATCCATAATTCCCCGAGTCAACCCATGTCCACACACACCCAGAATCTAAGAGGAGACAGGACCTGAGTGAATTCATTCACTTATTTTACCAATGGATAAACTGAGGCCCAAGGCAGTGGGATGACGCTCCCAAAGACAAACACGTAGTAGATGGTAGAGTTGAGAAGACGCTAATGTCTCCTCACTTGAGTCTAGTAGATTCTCCACTGCACAATGCAGGCCATTCATTCATTAACTTATCCATGTCAATTCAAGCTCCTGGAACATGTTAGGATATAATCAACACACCTGCTAAGGGCCCACATTGGGCCAACACTACCTTGGTCCTGAAACTCCAACTCCATGTACATTGTCAAATCGCACTGGCTGTCCCCATTTCCTCTCCTGATATTTCCACGTGCTCATCGTCCTGAGTGATTGACAAGGCAAGAAAACCAAGGGAACCTGACGGAGTGCACATTTCACCTGTACAGCAACAGCACCTTAATCATTGCTGAGGAACCTCCCCTTCCCAGTGTACACAGTCTTGTTAGGACTGTTAATCAAACTGCCTCATCCCCCCTCTGGTAGTGGTTGAGTTCAGGGTCCAAATTAGCACAAATTCTCTCCTTGAATTTGAAGCTTGAATACAATGAAAAAACTTTTTGCATCAGACAGATGACAATAATGGCCCACTGAAGATGTTGTCCTTTTTTTCTTGCTAAATATACTCAAAGGGCTGGCCCAATTCCACCTTGTCTGAGACCTAGTTGGTCAGCTTTCCTTTCAGCCTATAAGCAGACTTCCAGTAAATCCCTTTTCTGATTAAGTTAAATAGAATCTCTTTCTGTTGCTTGCACCCAGTGAGTCCTGACTAACTTACTTCCCAGCCCAAGGACATCACCCTACTGCATGGCTGGGAAACAGCCAACTAAAGGTGTCTACATCGCTGTTAGGGGCAGATTACTTACCAGGTTTCTGGTACCATCCAAAGGGATAGGTGCGGACTTCAGTGTCAGGAGAATTGCAGTCCAAAATGCGCCAGGCTCCTCCATTCTCCTCACTGCATGTCTGAAGTCCCAAGCTGCTTAGGGTCAGGCATGTCACCTCTCCTCCTGGAGTAAAAAGTAACATGACTAGGTGAATGGTCATGACCAGAGCTTCTAGTTGAATGAAGAAACTGCAAACACATTCTGCAGCAGGCACTTGGGGTGCACCCACTATGTTCCAGGAGTGATTTTTGTCACTGGGAATAGACAGATGAAAAGCCTGGCACTTGGATCTAGGGAGTTTCTGGACGAAGAGCACAGAGATGGAGGCAGTGAAGGATGCTCCAGGGATGGACGCTGGGTTTTGCAAGGTCTTTGCTCGCATCACACCACCTGGTCCTCACACGCCCCTATGGGGAGGGTAGCATTAGTATCCCTATTTACAGATGAGGAAACTGAGGCTCTGAGAGATGAAGCGACTTCCTCAGGACCACAACACTAGTACAGGACTGACCCACTCATCGCCGTTGAGTTGATTCCGACTCATAGCAACCCTAGAGGACACAGCAGACAGATGTCCCATAGTTTCCAAGGCTGTAATCTTTACAGAAGAAGACTGCCACATCTTTATCCCACAGAGTGGCTGGTGGGTTCAAACCACTGACCTTTCAGATGCTAGCCAAGTGCTTAACCATTGCATCACCATGGCTCCTTATACGAGACTGAACCAAATTTGAAATATAGATCATATGAATGGATCCAACACCAAGCTACCTGACTTGAGTCTTACAAGATGAACAGAAGACAGCTAAGTGAGGAGTGGAAGGAAGGCTGTTTTGACCAAGCAGAACCATAAAGCTGACAGAGTGGTGGACCAGGAGCCACGTCCCAGTGATCACATTTATTAGCCATCCACCCTCTCCATGCCCCTACCTCCCCATCTGTGAAAAGGTTATATAACATCATCAGTGTGTATGTGTCTTCTAGACTGTAAAGTGCTGCACACAGGGAGAGGGAGGTTGGTATCATTGTTACCTTTTGACTGGGAAACGTTGAGAAATCCAAAACCAGTGCAGCACGGGTCCGCGTCACACCGCCGCTCACACTCAAAGAACCTGGAGCAAGAGGAGACAGAAGGCTGACGGTTCTGGCTGCTGGTCTGGGACCCTACTGGGTTGGCTGAATTGGAGACATTGTTACTTTCAGGGCCTTTCTTTATGACTACCTAATTTAGGGGTGCTTTGCTCAATTTGAATGGATGGATTTCATCGCTTTGAGGTTCTTTCTGAAAACAAAATCCTACTCTCCTCTCAGGAATCTCATATGCCATCCTTCCTTCCCTCGCTTATTCGTCAAGCACATAGTCTGTGCCCATTGTGCACCAGGCTCCAAGCCAAGCCCACCCAGGATCCTGAACATGTTCCTGCCATCCTTCTGGATCAGGAGGAAGTCTCAGTGTGGACTCTGGGAAAACGAAGAAACAGTAGAGAAGGTGCCTCCAGGACAGGCGAGTCCATGGCTTACATACAGCACAGCCCAGCAGATGTCTGCTGAATTTACAGAGCTGAAATTTGTTTCCCCTTGGCTTCCTCCCTCACTCGCTCAGCCACACAGGCTAATCACGTTCCAGAAACACATTATTTTTTCTGGTCAGCAGATCAAGATGTTCGGGACCTACCTTGCTTATCAACTCCATGTGACTACTGAACCCACTCGCAGCTTCTAGGACCAAGCCTGGCAGGAGGGTCTTAAGAGGTCCTGAACCAATGCTCCTGGGCTCAGTTCTAAGCTCTCCCTCCCCTGACCCTGGGTCCCATTCTGATCACTCATTCGTGGCTCCTGAAAGCTTGCTCAACCTCTCAGCCCTTTTTGGAGTGGGGTCTGAGCCTTGTTCTTGCCATTCTACTTCTTATCTTAGTAACCCCTGAACCCAAACCATGTGCCATCTGCAGGGCAGCTTACCCATTAGAAATGGACTTTTCAGACATGGGCACTTTGCTTCTGATGGAAATCCCTGTCAGTTTTTGGAACGGCAGACGAGTGTAAAAGTTCTTCACTTTATCTTTCAGTATAACTACAAAGACGAAGAAAAAATTATTTTACTTAGAGACAGATTTTTTTGTATCCATGAAAATATGAGGACAAAGGAGTAATAACTAGATTGAAAGCTTCCAGGTAAAAATGGCTGACTACAATTATGTATTCACCCTCTGCCCCCTACCCAAACTTCAATCAAATAATAGTAAAGGGATGATTTTAAAGCCATAAACCCACAAGGATAGAGAGAACAGGACAAGAGATACAACAACAAAATTTTGAAACCATGAGTTTGAGTTAAAATGACTTAAGACACCCAAGAAAGTTGAGTCCTCAAACTTCCTGTAGGAAGAACCAAGATGGAGCCCAACATAACTTGTGGAATCCCAAAGGATTTAAGTATCTGCAGCACTGGAGGTGTAGATGGGCTAAGAATGGAAGGATGGGCTGAAAATCTCTTTAAGATGCTCTCCTTTGTTTTCCACACCTGACAACTGCCCCCTTCCCACCACAGAAGGGCATGGAAGATTTATTCTCTTGAGGACAAAAGGGTCTCTGGACGGGGGTGCACCAGGTAGAATTAATGACACAGGTACCATATTGAAACCAGGAGGTTATTTCAAGTTGGTCTACATATTGAATATTGAGATTTCCCCAGCTTTCAAACCTTATTTGGTGCCCAAACCACTAGTAATCAGGCTTATAGCCCCCAGGCCAGATATGGCAAGAGATTTCTCTGGGGGAAGGGCCTAAAAACACTGACATGAGGGATTGGCCCAACAGGATTATCCTACAGAAAAATCTAAAGTCAACAAGTCCCTTCATATATTCAGAGCTTCCCAATCACCTTTTTGGCCCCTGTCTTATATCTGAGTGGAAAACCAAAGGTCACTGGACATCTGAGAAAGGCTACCGACAAAAAGGGAGAGAGGACGGTAAATGAGGGGACAGCACCTGGGAGGAAATGGAGACCACTATGCAGGGTAATAGTATCATTAGTGTCCTCGGAGAGAAAAATCAACCCAACTGCTATCTTGTTGAAGCTACCACAGTTTGGATTTTTGGTAATATACTGTGCCAAATGCAATTCTAACTGATTAAAGTGGCTCGCTCTGAGGAGTGGGATTACAGAGCAGAATGATTGTCTGTCATCAACTCGATGCATTTCTGAATTGCTTCACATCTTTACAAGGAGCGTGCAAAAGTTTATTTTAAAAAGAAGAAGAAATTAATCTGTGTATTTCTGAAGCAGCAGAGCCAGCAGCCCATTGGAAGCACAGTTTGTGCAATTGCAACCAAGTGCTCACCTTTCTTCTGGAACAGCATCTTTGGCCTGTGCGGCAGGATCACTCTACAGCCCTTGGGACTGGTCTCCATGACATCATCACACACCTGGGCCTCTGGGTAGAGGGTGCAGGTGAAGTACAAGGGTGTGCTGTCTATAATCTCTGCCAGTTGACAGAAAGAAGCTTCCTGGACACAGCCTACAGGCAAGAGAGCATTTGGATTTCAATCCTTAGGAGACCTACAGAAGATAGTTACCTCTACAGGATCCTCTTGAAGAAATGCCCAGTCAAGATTCTTCCAGGGCAGTTGAGTCTGTCCAGTCTGGAAGGTGCAAGAAAACTGGGGCTCTGCTAGTTGGGGAGAGGGGCATACATGGAAAAGTGAATCCATATGGCCCTGACTAAAGGCAGAGCCTAAGATGTTTGAGGGGAGAACCTCAAACTCAGCAATATAGGAGAAGGGTGGGTAGAATTCCATTGAATCTACCCATGACCATCTCAGAGGCCTTTGGGATCTACAGACCAGAGGCCACAGGATTGTGAACATTGTGAATAATCTTCCCTGCCCCCATTCCCATGTCAGTCTTTGGTACTGGTGTGCGAAAGCTCCCTGAGGGCTGGCATCATAGTTGATTCATTTTTGTTTTTGTTTTTTCACATCCAAAATCAAACACTAGGCCTAGAACATAGCAAATGTTCAATAACTGCCTGCTGAGAAAAAGATGGATGGATGGATGGATGGACGGATGGATGGACGGACAGACGGATGGACGTATGGATGCATGGATGATGGATGGGTGGGTGGATGGATGCATGGACGAATGGATGCATGGATGGATGGATGATGGGTGGATGGATGGATGGATGGATAGGTAAATGGATGGATGGGTGGGTGGGTAGATGATGGATGGATGCATGGATGCATGGATGCATAGACGGATGATGAGTAGATGGATGATGAGTGGATGGATGGATGCATGGATAGATGCAAAGTGGGATGAGTGGGTGGATGGGTGCATGGATGCATGGATGAATGGATGGATGGATGGTTGGATGGATGGATGATGGGTGGATGGATGGATGGACGACAGATAGGTCTGGGAGCAGAGTAAGATCAACTACATTTTAAGCTTCTTGAAGTTCAGGGTTATGTCCTATATTTCTTCTGTATCACCCATGGTGCTAATACTATAGTGATCCTTGAGTTATGCCATTGAGTTCAATCCTATCTGTTTCTCAATAGTTGTTAAGTTAGGACTGTAATGCCTGACCACAGGGCCTAGAAGAAGAATGATGTGGTATATGGATACTTACGAGAGAGGCACCACAGGTTTGCTTGCTGGGGTGAAAAGAGGTGTTTGAAAAGCCAGTGCTGCTGGCTGGGCAGGCTTCGGTTTCCACTGACAATGATCTGGTTAAGGTCCACAGGGGAGAAAAGCTCTGCTACCAAATCTGAAAAAGAAAGAAAAAGTCAACTCCCTGCACCTTTATCTGGACAGTGAACAGAAGAGAGAGAGAAATGGCTGCTCTTATTGGCTTCCCTGAGTTTGTCTCAAACACTCAGAATAACTGCAGTAACCTAAAGCAGACAGGAAATTCCTGGCTGTGTTTGGAAGCAGAGAGGCCGTTCTTGGGGGTGCTGAGCAGCACAGTTGAGTAAACAGGCACGTGGAGAAGCCACAAGGCCTGACTGGGCGCTGCAGTCTAAAGTGCCTTCTCCTGCAGCACATGAAGCTTCTACTAGAGAATTTCTGAAGGTGCAGAGGGACACCCACTGCCCAGGGGAGTCTGGACAAGTGTGAGTACTGAGCCTAGTTTCAGATCTCTGACTGGGACCTGCAATGTGACAGGCAACACAGGAAGAGAGATGGAATGGGACGAATTTTAGTGAATGCTTGCTAAGAACCAGGCTCTGTGCTAGGATCCTAATAACTACTCTCCCTTAATAACAACTACCAAGTTTTGAGCCCTTACTCTGTGCCACTGCATTTACGTAGTTACTTCCTCGAATTCTCACAATTGCCCTAGCACATGGATACTGCTAGAACTCTTATTTACAGAAGAAGAAACTGAGGCTCAGAGGAGATGACCCACTTAGAGGTGCACATGCTGATAGAGGCAGAACTGGGATTGGAACCCCGCTCCCCTGACACGAGAAGCCACACTCAAAACCAGGACTCAGTCCTCGAATCCCCACGTCAACTCTAGACATGCAGAATGAACTCCTGCCTACCAACAGCTACACTGGGGGTTGAGCCCCATTGTCAGTGGTCTGTGCACATTATCTCATTTGATCATCAAAAAACTCTGGGGTGGGGAAGGAAACCACCATATTTTGGGGCATCTGTTAAGTGCCAGGTGTTCTACCTGGTGTGTTATCCAATGGGATAAGAGGAAGGCAAGATCAGTTTCACTCTAAACAAGAGGAATTTGAGGCTCTGAGCAGGTAAACAAATTACTCAGAGCCATGCGGTCAGTAGAGAGTAAGGGCATAAAAGTGCTCCAGCCCCATTCTAGCTGCTTTGCAGCATGGTGGTTGTCTCCTTGTGCCTCCCTCCAGTCAGGACGCTGTAGGCTCTGGAGGTAGAGAGGGCTCTGGCATCACCTTCTGTCCCTATTAAAGGGTGGACTCATGTCTCCCAGGAAGTGCAATGACTCTTTTTCAAAAGACTCTCATAGATATGTCATTCTTTAAACAATTCCAGAATATTTCAATTGATCTTACACTCGTCAAGATTTACATAAGTGGAGGCACTGATTACAATCAGTGGAACCTCGCTCTTTAATTGTTGGTTTTATGGGTTTGGTTTTGTTGTTGTTGTTGTTTTCTGTTTTCATTATTATAGCTGTTGTTTTGCCTTCCAGCAGCAGTGGTGACTTTGCAATGATTTTGCCTCACTTTCTGTACCAACTGCCCAGTTGAGGAGCTGCCATATTTATGAGATGGATAATTGGGGTTAGAAGCTTGGAGGCAAATCTGTACTACAGAACAGAAGGATGTTAATGGGTTGATTCATTGATTAAACCCCCGGCACCACCATCTTGTCTCCACAGCCAGGCATCCAGGTGTGCGGACAGCTTTTCAAGTCTGTACCTGTTTCTGCTGGAGATGCTGGCCTTGGTGCCATGTGTCTTCTACATCCCACAGACTCAGATCGAGACCCCATGTCAGAATCTAGAAGGGAAAGGAGGAGAGTCATTCTAATGTTTAGAGGAGGCATTCCTTTGGTCAATAAAAAGGTAATGGCAATGTGGGACATTCTCAAGGTCCACAGCCAGGTCCCTCAGACAAGATCTGGAACAAATCCAGTGGTATAGGTCTGCACACCTTGGCCTTTTGAGGAACATCAGTCAACCTCTGGTTAACTGAACTATTACCGTCCCTGATATTGAAATTATTTACGTTGCAAAGCAGTTTAGAGCTAACAAAATATGTTCATACATACTGGTCCTCAAAACACCTATGAAGGTAGGCAGTAAGATTTCCACATTACTGCTGAGAAGACTGAGACTCGAGAGGTGAAATCATTTATTGCACACCCTCAGGAGGTAAGTTACCAAAACTAAACCAGTTGCCATTGAGTCAATTCAAACTCATTGTGACCCCATATATAGATGAATTGGAATTTGAAAAAAATAAAATAAAATCTCCACGTTGGTAACAGGCCTTTCATAAAAGCTGAGTGAACCTATGGGGAGGAGACTACGGGGACAGTGTCTGGGTCTCACCCCCAGCACTTCCTGGCTAAATGTCCTCTGGGGCACTGCACTCAACTTCTCCAAGTCTCATTTTCCTTATCTGCAAAATGAACAAATGTCACCCCATCTATATATCTGCTTTATAAACCAAAAAAACCCATTGCCATCAAGTTGATTCCTACTCATAGCGACCCTATAGGACGGAGTAGAACTTCCCCATAGGGTTTCCAAGGAGCGGCTGGTGGATTCGAACTGCTGACCTTTTGGTTAGCAGCCATAGCTGTTAACCACTGCGCCACCAAGGTTCCTATCTAGTTTACAGATATGAATAAATGAGAAAAGAAGAGTATAATCTCATTATACAACTTTAAAAACTCCCTCCTCCTTACCAACACCACATTAATTAGCACTTACTGTGCTCCAGGTGTTCTGAGCACTGTACCTGCATTGCCTTACCAACTCTTACACAGCTCTACGAATAAGAACTATTTCTCGTCCCTATTTTACCCATGGAGACTCTAAGGCTCAGAGGGGCTAAGAGATGTGCTCAAGGTCACACAGGTGTTAAGTGACAGAACCATAATTCGTATCAGTCACTCCAAGTCCGTACTCTTTGTACTCTGATCTTTTCCACTGTTTTAGTTTACAGGTGTAGAAACAGCTCAAGGAGATGAATGAGGAGGGATCGTGGGAAGAGGAGGGAAGTGCTGGGGGAACTGAGGACCTTACCACATGCTTCTAACCCAGCTCTTATCACCTGAAATATACCTGCCCACTCCCTTGTCTGCCTCCCTCACAAGACTGGGGTTATTGAAAAGTTAGGGTTGTGCTTTATGCATCTCTGTCTCCCAAATGCCTCCCACAGTCCCTGGCTCTGGGTGGCCCTTGGCCACTGTTCGTAAACTCAAAAGAGGACAGGAAAGCAGAGAAAGGAAAAAAAAAAACAAACTGAACCTCTTGCCATTGAGTCGATTCCAACTCATAGTGACCCTATAGGGCAGAGGAGAACTGCCCCATAGGGTTTCCAAGGGGCAGTTGATGGATTCGAACTGCCAACATTTTGGTTAGCAGCCGAGCTCTTAATCACTGCACCACCAGGGCTCACTGCATCACCAGGGAAAGCAGAAAGGAGGTGCCAAATGTGGACCTGAGCCCCCACTTCGCCCCAACCTGTTCCATGCGCCCAAGCAGGAGCCCATGACATCACCGGCCTGGGGCCTGTCCCATCAGCCCAAGCCTTGGGAGAGAGGCAGATGGGCCAAGCCCCTTGGAGAAATGCCTCCTGCTCATATGCAAAGGTCTCAGAGCTCCCATCTCGAAAACAAGGGCAGCTTGTGTTCAGGGAACTTTATCTCAAGGGACCCAGTGCTTCCTTCCTGGGTCCTTTCGCGGGTTTCCAGACTTGTCATTTTTCCTTTAGACTTTGCTATTTTATCAGATGAGGAGTTGAGGCCCTTCCCTGTCACACAGAGCATCCACCTGGGAAGGAAACCTCTCCACTTTTCTCTGCGGGCAGCAGAGCGCCCTGTGAGAAGTGGGCACAGACAACCTCAGGCAATCCGTGTCCTGCCCTCCCCCCACCTCCGCCAGGGAGCTTACCTTTCCAGAGATAAACCCGCTGGAAACTGGAAAACGTGTCCTGTGTTCGGTCCAGGGGCGTCAGACCTGCAACGGTGGAAGATGGCTGTCTTTCTGAGCTTGAGTATTCTTGCTCTCACTGCGTACCGACATGACCACCGACTGCCTCATTCCCTCCCCCAACCCCCACACTGGCCCTTCTGGATCTGAGACCTCTGTTTCCTGAACAAGGTGCAAATCCAGAAGCCTCTAGAGGCCTTCTTCCTGTTCTCAGTTACAAAACCACAGCTGTTCAAACCCCCGGTGTCTTGATCAGGGTACCAAAGGGACTCTGAGCTGCCATCAGCCTGTGACACAGGAGGGTCATGTAAGGAGCTTAAAGAAAACAAAGCTTATAAGACACTCGAGGGCTGTGTTAGTTTTACATGTCGCTTAACTGCTCTGAGACTCTTGCCTCATTGGCAAATGGGGATGGGAACTGTGAGGATGGCAATCATGTGTATAATAACCCGTCTAGTGTAATCCTCAATATCTGGTACGCACCCAATAATCGGTAGTGACTATTATTTAATTACTAGTATTATTAAATTTCCCATTCTGCCAAACTATACTCCCCTGGACACCACCCTGGATAAGGCTGGCTCTGCCACACCATTTCTTGATGGTCAGGGCTGCCTCTTTTGCCCCTGAGCATCCCTAAGTACCTACGAGTTCCCCTCCCAATATAAAAAGCTGAGAAAACACACTCCAGGAAAGAGCTGCCTGACAACTTGAGACATCAAGAAATGGTCGGATTTTGCTCTTAATTTTAATGAAGAGTCATTTATTGAGCCATGACCCTTTATCCAATGCTATAAGGAAAACCTTCCGTACGTTAACTTCAACCTCACGGCTGTACTATAAGGTAAAGTAGGCATTTTGGTCCCCAATTTCCATGTGAAGAAATCAAAGTCCAGAGAGAGAGGTTAATGCCAGAATACAAAGCCCACCTGTGTGGCTCCATATCTCATGCTTTTAACCACCTCACCAAAGGCAGGATAATATGTTTTAAAATTATGTCCATCCGATATGGTCAGAATGTCAAAGTTTCTTGTGTTTAAAGAGGTGTCCACTCAACTACCTGGAAAACTCAGGTATCAAAGTGATGCCCCCCACCCCGAAGGCTGACCATGCTCTGTGCCACGAGGTGACCTAAAAACACTGAGCTGCGCTGCCGCTGGTTTTGCGTCTGACGTGGGAATAAACAAGGAGACCAGAACTTCGCAGACTGCCCAGTATTGGAGAACACATTTCCTTAAGGGACCCACTTGTAATTTTCCCATAGCCTTCTTCAGGGGGTAGAGGCATTTATTAAAAAGTTAAGGAAGTGAAAATCTAAGCTCTCTGGGGGACCCAGGACTTGGATCTCTGAAAGTTTGGGACTTGTTCTACACACTACGGAGGAGACCATACCAACGCAGAGCAGGGGGCCACCTGCTCAGTCCGTGTGCCATTTTTACTGTCTCCTCATGATACCAACATTTGCTTACTATGAAATTCAGGCTATGGGGCTTTGGACCTTTTCATGAGGGAAATCACTGGATTTATTTAAATTTTTTTATACCCAAACCTATTTGGTATACTGACACTTTCAAACTGTGTGTGTGTGTGTGTGTGTGTAAAATGTACGTAGATATATATTTTTGGTAATACCAAAAGATTGGCAGTTTGAACCCATCCAGCATCTCCATGGGAGAAAAGACCTGGCAGTCTGCTCCCCTAAAGATCACAGCCTAGGAGATCCTGTCAGGCAGTTCTACTCTATCACATGCAGTCGCTATGAGTCGAATACTGACTTGATGGAACCTAACAATGACAACAGATACTTTAGGCCACGTCTTCTGCATTCTGAATCTTACTTAGCCCGTAAGAAGTTTGTAAAATGGTATCTTGTCTCTAGGGTTTTTTATTGCCTTGAAATTGAAGACCAAAACCAGTTGCATTTGAGAAAGCGTTTACCTGGGAATAGTGCTGAGCATTTCGGTCAGGGCCTTCAGCAAATATTAGTTCACATTTCCATACTGACTCCTTCCTAAGAGCAATAACCCTTGGCAGAATTCCAAGAGGGGGGCCTTCAGCAGCTCCCATTTTTGATGGGGTGTAGCTTTCATGTTGCCCTCATCACCTTCTTCTTTGCTGGTTTGTGTGTCCTGCTTTACATAGAGCGGAAAGTCCTACCTGCCCCCAGCACCCAAAGAAAGCGGTGCTCTGCACAAGTGCAAGCTCCCAGAGGCAACATCAGGCCCTGAACTCGCTGAACGGTGATAGACAGGACAAGGTCCCCTTATGCACTTTTGGTCAGGCTCAAGGAAATGGAGCTCTGTGTTTCCAGAGTGGGAATCATGATGTCTTAACTTCATCCTGGGTTTCTGTCCATTTCAATACAATTCAGTCCAATGGAATTCAGTTAAATTCAGCGAATGTATGTTGAGGACCTTTCGCAGGTCTGGAAGCTCATCTGATCAGTATCTACAGAGACTGTTGTCTCCTGGGAAGCATCTTTGTAAATAATTCCACCAATAGTTTTTGTTATCAGAATGATTACCTTCTCTCCAACGGAAGGCAAAGAAGACACTTTGAGTAAAAGTGATGACATTGACCTTATCCTCATCACCTCCCATCCCTATCCCCTCACCCAAACTCACCTCCTCCTATGCGTTCTGATGGTACCACCTTCTTCCCCGGTACCCCTCTCAGAGTCATCCTTGGCTCCTCCCCCTCCATCAGTTTCCACATCCAACCAGGCAATTTCCTACACGGTTCTTAAACCCACCCACTCCTCTCCAAACTACACTCTTAGCTCAGGCCCTCCCACTTCTTCTAACATCCTTAGCCTTCTAACTGCTCCCCTGCCTGCGGTCCTGGCTCCCTTCCAGCCCTCGGCCATACAGCCTGGAGAAGTTCTTCCTGAAATGTAAACCTCCCTCCAGTCCTGCAATAGCTACAATGGGTCTCAGAGCTAGTGCCTTGCCATATGGTTCTTGCCAGTCTGTGCAGCTTCGCCCCAGCTCTGCCCCCAAGGTGCCCGTCCTCCCAGACATCTCAAGATGCTTGCTTTCAGGCTTCTGCATCATCATCACACACGTTTCGTTCCCTCTGCCTAGAATCCTTCCCCCTTTCACTTGGCCAATCCCTACCCATTCTTTAAGAATCAGGTTCTGCACCACCTCCTTCTGGAAGTCCTCCTTGACCCCTCTGCTGGATCTGATGCCCCACCTCTGGGTTCGCCCAGCACCCTACAAACACCTGTCTTTGATCTCACACCTGATAGTGATTGTCCAACTCCTCCAATGAACTATGAGCTTCCTGCGTCTGGGACTGGACCTCATTCTTCTTCATGTCATCCACGCCTAGCACAATCCCTGGCACGGTATGGGTGTCAGTACATAAATGAATGCAAGAATGAATGAATGAAGGGGTAATAATCAATGCTACTCAGAGCAAGACAAATTAACATAGCGCCTCATCCTCCCAAGCATAAGAAGGCTGACCACCGAATTAGGCTTCCTAACGCACCATTCTGTTCATGCACTCCTTTGCCCAGAACTTCCCGAGCACCATATTGCTGGTTATGAGAGGGTCCGTAGAGTTAAAGCAAAAGTGTTCCTCCTCTTCCTTGCTAAAAGATCTTTTAAGGTAGAACCATTTGGACTGCCTGGACATCTCTTCCATCCCTTCCACCACAGCTGAGTGAGAATATCCCTGCTACACAAACTGCCTTCCAGACTCCGACGCCTTGAAATCAAGGCTGCAGGAACACAAGCTTAGCACATCGGAAGGCATGGTGTGAAGCTGATTCTTCAGGAGCTTGTGTGCAGAGCTTTGGGCATGCGGGCTACCATTCATCTACACCCTCAGAGTGGTCAGGACGTCAAATGTGAAAACATACTCCAGGGGGGGTGGAGCAGCACTGAAAACTGCTGTCCAGAAGCCCCACCCTCAGACAGGGCGCCCTCTGTCCCTAATTAATACCAGGGGCTTTGCTAATTAGCATAGTGAATGCTGGAAACGTACAATTAGTGGTGAAATTCGTAGTGCTCAAGACATGTGGTTTGGCTAGAACTGCTGAGGACCACCCCTCCCCTGCAGGAAGAGAGGGGAGAAGTCCGTAGTCCAATAGCCCTGGGTGCCCTGAGCTGGGTTCCGGAGTAAGCCCGCGACTAGTCACTGACATACAGGGTCCTTGGTCATTGGATTTTGACCAGAAGGTGAGTTGCATTCTGCTTTGAGAGTATTATTGTGTGTGTCTCAAATGATCCTTTCAAATAAGGTGAGAGAGGAACAGGCCTGGGTCTTCCCTGAGTTCACAGAGCAGGCTGCGGAGTGGCTTCTGAACCTGTTTGCTAATCACTGCCTGTGTGTGTGGCAGAATTCAGTCTCAGGCTTGCTTTAGTTACAATCCGGCAGGGAATTGTCAGCGGAGAGGTCCCCAATCATCAGAGATTGCCATTACTTAGAAAAACCAGGCAATCTAGAACAGCCAAATTGGTTTAAGTAGGTTCAAAACAGCTATTCCGGCTGTTAGAGGTAATTGTCATTAAAATCTCAGAAAAGGCCCTCTTTCCGGTCAGGCGGGACCTGACACCCGTGGCTTGGAGGTATGACACGAGGATGAGACAGTGTCCTGAGGTTCCGCCTGGCAAAGGGTGTCCTGGGGCCCAGCCTCAGGGGAACGAGGCCTGGCCAGCTGTGCCTGCACAACGGTATTCACCCCGGGAGGCTATCGGTTTACCTCTCTCCTGCTCTGGACAGTGAGCTTCCTTTACAGGGGCCAGATATTAGGAGGTCCTCCTTTCCACCTCCCAGCTCACTGCCTGGCACAAAGCTAGAGCTGAATAAAAGATCGTGGAGGAAATGGAATAGAGCTGTGCTTTACGAGCTAGTGACCTTGGGCAAATTACTTAACCTCTCTGAACCTCAGTCCTCTCCTTGGTAATGAAGAAAATACCATTCGTCTTCAGGACTTAGAGAAGTAATTGAGGTAACATATGCAAAATGAAGAAGATGCTGCCCATTTCCCATTCAGGCCTCCAAATGGCTGCCTGTTTCCCATTCAGCCTTCAATTGTCAGTACCTGCACCTGTACCTGAAGCTTTTTTCTAGGACCTGCAGGAAGCCTTCCACTGCCTGAGCCATGGTGGAGGGCTGGATGCATGAGGAGTCAGCCACGCTTCCAGCAATCCTCAACCAAGCAGTCTTGAGAGTTGGTGTATCAATACCCCAGTTCCTTTGCCCCTCTGATGGGATCATTCTAACGTGTGTGTTTGTATTGCATGGATTCCCAGATTCCTCATGGGACTAAAGTCTAGTCATCCCCTCATGCAACAGGCTTAAGAGTCCACCTTTCATTGGTTGTCTCCTCTCTTCTCTATCATTTCCCCCATGTCTGTAGTTACATTCCCTGGCCTTCCTAAATAAACTACATGCCCCAATTCTTGTCTCAGGGTCTGCTTCTGGGAGATCCCAAACTAAGACACAAAGCACAGAGCCAAGTGCATGGTCAGCACATAATCCATGACAGCTATCAAAAATAATTCCTATGATCATTTTACAATGGACCATCCTATTTTTAGATACTCATCAGGCATCTAACTCCAGGTACATCTGGTTACAATGAGTTCATAGACGCATTGTAAGTTTCTCCACCTAGCATGCCAGGATAATGACAATCACTGATACAAAACAGCCTCCTCTACAGGGAACGCCAGGCATCAGATTGAGCCTCACAGTTGCTCAACAATTTTAAAACTTTTGGATTCAGAACAAACCCAGGAGTATTTCTGCCAAGGCCTCCCCCGACCCCCATCAAATTTTAAGTCCCTACAGACATTAGGGGACACTTAATCTGCCTGCTTTTATTCATTTGCACTTCAAGACATTGTCAGAAATGAGCCCTGTGCAATTCCAGAGCTTCCTAAACCCTTCTTCTTACGAATAGGAAGGTCGATGCAGCCAACCCCAAATCGTGGAAAACTTCCAGTGCCCACTGGAAATTTGGGGGACACAGAAGTGGATTTCTCTCAAGAACATTCATCAGCCCGGACACAAAGGACAAACAGAAACCTGATATTCTCAGCCATCACGCGTGACGACAGGAAAGTGAAATGTCATGGAAAGCACTATCCCTTCAAACTGGATACAATGGCCTCCAGGTACTTAGGGGGTTTTGTACCTTCACAGTACTGGATGAGCTGATCAGCGAGAGCAGATGTCCAGGTCCAGCACTCCTACTGAGCATCTCTATTGGATGCAGAGTTTTGGGGCCAGGGACTAGGGATTCAGGAAGGAATGCCTTATACTATAGTCTGTAGAGCACATTAGCACTTCATTCTATCGTATATAGAAGTGTGCCCCATTTTACTGATGGAAACACTGAGGCTTTGGGTTTAGTGCCTTGAACAAGATCACAAAGCTGGAGACAGAAGCAGGACTCAATTCTAGGTATTTAAAACCCAAACCATTATTCCATGACCTCTAGCATCTACCTAGTGCTATTTATTCTAGACAGCATTCCTAGTTCACATGCATTTCTCCTTTAATGCCCGCCCCCGCCCCCGAGGAGGCAGAAGTCAACATTATTCTCATTTTATAATTCAGAAGACTAAGGCCCAGAAAGGCCATACAATAAGTAAGCATTCGCATGGGGATTTGAATTCTGGAGTCTGATTCCAGAGTCTACATTGTAATAAAGACCATCTAGCCAGTTGTTCAATGGGAAGGAAAAGAATGACCCTCAACCAACTTTAGGAGGGATAGAGTTTGTCCTTATTGTTTCTAGCCCCTTTCTGTGTTTTTTCAACCATTCTATGGGCTCCTCTTCTGTTTTTCAGAGCCCTGGAATCTTCACTCCTCTTTGTTCCCATCAACACCTGCTCTTGGGAAAGGGTGGAAAGGCGATCTAATAGCTAGTCACACTTTAGTATAAATTTAAAGCACTACCTTTTTTTCCAGGGGTTAATTGTATGTAAAGCCTAGTTTGTTATTGTGGAAAGGAAGATAGTGTGTCTTACTGTTCCCAATTGGAGGTGACCTCTTGATCACTCTGTGTATGAACCAAAAACCCCATTGAGTCGATTCCGACTCATAGTGACCCTATTAGGACCGAGTAGAACTGCCCCATAGAGTTTCCAAGGAGCTGCTGGTGTATTTGAACTGCCGACCCTTTGGTTAGCAGCCACAGCTCTTAACCACTACGCCACCTCTGTGTACAAGGCAACCTCTAATTGAGGCCATCATGAGTAGACCTCAGTCTACTGAAATCTCCATCATGAGGCACCCTTCTGAAAGCCTTGCCCTTACCCCAAAATCCACTCACTCACACACACACACACACACACACACACACAAAATACTGAAAAACAAACACACTTCCAAAATCTTTTGGTAATCATTCCTTCTCAGGGAGGCAGACAAGGGCACATTCTTATTTCTTGGGCACAGACCAAGCACATGCTCTGTGTTAAGCAACGCACTCTGGATTTATTGCCCAGGAATATATCTTACGTCCTTCTTGAAATGTCTGCTTTCACTCTGGACTACCTCTTGGAATAATGAATACCATATGTTTACTACCCGTGATATAAATAAGCTATTTGGTTTTATTTACCACAAACGATCTTCACTTAAGCTCCATGGATGTCCACCAAATCCTGAGATACTTTTTCCATGCTTTGGTAAATATGCCCTCAGCAGCTATTATTTATAGTCTCTATTTTCGGGTTGATTCCCGATACTGTGAATCCAGAAATTACTAAGAGACAGTCCAGTCCTTAAGATATTAACAATAAAATGACGAAGTTAAAAAAAAATACAACGATAACAATATCACCTAACATTAATACTCTCCTATGTGTCAGGCACTTTACTAAGGTCTTTATATGTATTTTCGGTGAGTGTTGATATAGAGGGGCAGCTAAGAGCATTAACTTTGGAGCACAATAGCTGGTTTTAGATCCTAGCCCTTCTACATATAAGGTATGAGACCTTGGGAAGTTACATAACCGCTCTCTCCCTTGGCTGTAAAATGGGGATAATGATAATAATAGCACCTCCCTGAAAGCATTGTATTGAGAATTAATGAGTTAATGCAGGTCAAGCCTTAGAGCAACGCTTGGCTCAGTGAACACTGTGTAAGACAATTAGCTTGCTGTGGTTCTTGCTATTGTTTTAATTGATCTTCACAGCAACGCTGTGAGGTGAGCACTGTCATTATCCCCAACTAGGCCTGAAGAGATCTGTCAGCTTACTCAAGATCACACAACTGGTGTCCAAAGCTGGGATCGGACACCGCAGGCAGACTCTCAACCAGACACAGTTCCAGTAAGAAAGCTCAGAGAGTGAGGGGAGCCCACACGGGAGGGAGGGAGCAGTAGGCTCTGCAGGGGTAGTCAGGGAGGGCTCCTGGAAGCCTGAGGGCTGCAGTGCATTGAGATGTGTGTCTCAGAAGCTCCTTGGTGGGGGGCGGGGGGGAAGGAGTCTCTGTCAGCCCTTGGGGAGCCACGTCCCTAGAGACAGGAAGCCCCAAGAGTTCCCACCAAGACTGGCTCCTCTGGCCCCCTCATCACAGCTGCTCAGCCCAGGGCTTTGAATTGGTTTGTTCTGGTTCAATCCCCTGCTGAGAATTTATACATAAGAATGTATATGTAAGAATCACCTGGGGATCTCATTAAAATGTATCTGCCATCTATAACCCAACTCATGGCGACCCAAAGCACAGCAGAACAGAACGATGCCCAGTCCTATGCCATCCCCACGATCAGTTTCGGATCAGACCATTGTGATGCATAGGGCTTTCATGGGCTGACTTTTGGAAGTAGAGCACCAGACCTTTCTTCCCTAACTGTCTTGGTCTGGAAGCTCCGTTGAAAGCTGTTCAGCATCATAGCAAGAAAGAAGCCTCCACGCTCGTTCAGAAGGAGGATGAGAAGCACAAGGAGCAGAGCCAGGCATCCCAGCCAAGTCCAGACTAGGTCAGCCAGCTGCCAGCCAACCCCCAGATGTGAGACTGATCTCTGCTGAGGTCAGCAGAGCTGCCCAGTGGAGCCAGCCTTCCACCAGCCGGCCTGCAGCCTGTGAGCTAAATCAACGTTCTTGTTGAATGCAGCTGAGATGCTGTGGTTGTTTTTTAATGCAACATTATTTGTACAGTGTTCTTCTCGGATGTATAAATCCCTCAGCATACAGAAGGAGCTCATAAGACAGCAGAAGACCTTGCCCATGAAGGAACACGGGCAGAGTGCAGAGACTTACTCTGGATGAACTCCTGGCCTCCCAGACGCAAGGTCACTTGGCGGCTCCCCTGGTCATAGGTCACACCAGGGCACGTAGTGTTAGTAGCCTGGGCTTCAGGGGCATCCCTCCAGTCTTTGACACTGCAAAGCAGGATGCTGGGGGAACTCAGCAACCCACAGATGATGGGGCCTGCAGAGTGATAAGAGGCAGGAGAGGTCAATGTGATGGGGAATTAGCAGGGACCTTTCAGAAATTCCCCCTCTGTGCCCTGAAGAGCCTGTAAGATGGGGACAGGCAACAATACCTTGGGAGGTAGACAGGGACACTGGAACTCAAGAGCCTGGTTCCAGTTGGGTTATTCTTTCTTTTTTTTTTTTAATTGTGCTTTAGGTGAAAGTTTACAGCTCAGGTTAATTTCTCATTCAAAAATTCATACACCTTTTTTTGTGACATTGGTTGCAATCCCCACAACATAAGAGTACACTCCCCCTTTCCACCCCCGGTTCCCTGTGTCCATTCATCAGTTCCTGTCCCTTCCTGCCTTCTCATCCCGCTTTTGGACAGGAGTTGCCCTTTGGGTCTCAGATATTTGATTGAACTAAGAAGTATGTCCCTCACGTGTGTTATTTTTTGTTTTATAGGTCTGTGTAATCTTTGTCTGAAAAGCAGGCTTCGGGAATGGTTTCAGCTCCCAGTTAGCAGAGTGTCTGGGGGCCTTAGTTTCAGGGGTTCATAAATGTAGACAGAATTCGAATTCAGTTAGGTTACTCTTACTTGATTGCCCTACAAGTTGTTTTCCAGGAAAATTCCCGAGAGCCGCCACCATGCCCGCTACCCTCGCTTCTCTATTAAAGCTTCCTCTCCATGGGGTCGCCGGCAAAGACACCCCCACCAATCCCACTGCAGATGTTACTGCCTGAATCCTCTGTCACCATTTTCTAGCCCCAACCTACAAAGTGATCTTTTTGAGGCTTCAAGGAGATCAGCAGATTGGGGAGAACGATTTTCCTAGTTGCTGATAAATAGTGGAATGGCAGGCAGGCACCAATTGCCTTGGCAATTCCCAGGCCGAGCCATGGAGCACGAGAGTAGCAGAGGTTACAGTGAGGGCCTGGTGAGGGCTCAGAGGATCTCGTGGTCTGCCTGTCTCTCAAGCCAAATAAACACCCAGAATAACGGAATTAAACAATAAACCAAACCAAACCCAACCCATTGTCGTCAAGTCGATTCCGACTCAAAACGACCCTGTAGAACAGAGTAGAACTGACCTATAGGGTTTCCAAGGAGCACCTGGTGGATTTGAACTGCCGACCTTTTGGTTAGCAGCTGTAGCTCTTAACCACTATGCCGCCAGGGTTTTCACAACTAAACAATTAAACAATAGACAGGGTGTATTTTTTCTTCTGCACTCAGGCCTTTGAAGAGAAACCCATGGGGCTTTCTTCTTTAGTGCTAAAGTCCCTGAGTGATGCAAATGGTTGACGTGCTCGGCTGCTAAATGAAAGGTTTGGAGATTCAACCCCACCCAGAGGTCCCTCGTAAGAAAGGCCTGGCAATCTACTTCTGAAAGGTTACAGCCTTGAAAACCCTATGGAGCACAGTTCTATTCTGACATACACTATGAATCAGAGTCAACCTGACGGCAACTGGTTTTTTCAAAGTCTCAATGCAGGCTCTGCGTGCTGGGGGAAGGGGCTTGGGCCACGAGAGAAGCCACTTTTCTGATCAGCTCTACTGGCTGCAAGTAGCTTCTGGTGAACCTCCCCCAAGCAAGTCCCTCTGAACTTCATTTCCAAATGGCCTGAAGCAAAATGTAGGTACAGAAGCCGCGTGAATTGTCATTTATGAAATGATCAGTGGAAACTCAGTCATTTAGGGGTTGGGGATGGAGGAGGTTGAAATTTTGTTCAGAGCTGGGAAAAAATTCTCTCTCTCACACACACACACACACACACACACACACACACCAGAAAGCTCAATGACTTTCCAGGCCGAGATAAAAAGACGTAGCAGGACCCTCTTCCTGGTCCGCAGATCCAGCCAAACCTGTTAGAAGTTAACCCTCCGGATGTGCGCATGGGACAAGACTGGGAAAATCATCTGCCTGATGCTTTATGTGTGTCTCAACGAGAGCTCAGCTCTCAGCAGGGCTAGGCGGCAGTTCAGCTCCATCTAACTGCACAGATCACAGGTTATGCTTGAAAGGGAAAGGAAGCTAGCAGCTAGCCAGAAATGTCATGGAAAGAGGGATTGAGTGGTTTTACTTCTCCATGGAATAAAGTAATTCTTCCATATATAATCCTAAGGAAAATGAATCAGCCTTTCCAACTTGAAGTCATATGGTGCGGTGAGTAATCAGACATCTGGGAAACTGTGGTGTCCACAGCAGAGCAAAAGCATTCGGTTCAAAGAAGATGTCCTGGGTTTGAATTAGTGTTTCTAAATATAGGTATACACAAAGACATAGAAACATATGTGTGTATGTATGTGCATTGCATATGCGTGTGTACATACACATGAACACACACTCACTTATCTAAGCGTTAATACGAATCACATCACAGAATCATAAAGAATTAAACCTACAAGGAATGTCAGGAATCAGCTTACTTCAATCTGGGTTCCTGCCCCACCACACCAACCAAACGCCCTCATTTGGGCCACCACTGACTGCTGGGAGCTAACCTCAGCAGTATCACCTAGTCTGAACTCTCAGCAGCCTTCACTGTTGACAGCTTCCTTTGTCTTTCTGCCCTCTCGTCCCTTGGTTCATAAAACAATGTTCTCCTGGGTCTCCTCCTCCCTCTCCGGCTACTCATTCTTTCTTCTTCGCAGATTCTCTCCCTGTCATGTAGGTGTGCCCCAGAGATCGGCCCCGTCCCCTTTTCTTTTCTCACTCTGTACCCTCTTCCTAGGAAATTCCACCGGTAACCATGCCTTCTGATACCACGTCGATGCTGATAATTCACGTACTTACACCTTGGCCTTGTCCCCTCTGGGCTCTGGATCTTTGTCTCCAAAGCTTAGTCCTCATCTGTGGATGTCTCAAAGGCACTTCAATCTTAGCATACCCCAAATTGACTCCTGAACTTCCCATATCTCCCTCTCTCATCACCGAATCTTGCTTCTGATATCTTCCATTACTCTCCAAACCAGTAAACTATCCAACCAGGTGTACAAGTTAGATTCTTGGGAACGATTTTTGACACCTTCCTCTTCCCCAAGCCCCATGTCCAAGTACTACTGATTTTGCCTCTGACAAATACCTTGAATCTTTTCCTTTTTATCCATCTCCATTGCTGTCACCCTAGTCCAAGCTACCAGCCTCTCTTACCTGGAGTACTGTGGTAGTTAGTAACTGATCTCTCTACATGTACTTACTCTAACACCTATCCCATACCTTCTCCACACTCAAGCCGAAGTGCTTATTTCAAATTTCAAATCTGATCATGGCATCCCTTTGTTTAAAACTTTCAACGTCTTCCAGGTGCTCTTAGAATAAACACAAAAGTGTTTAGTGCAAACTACAAGGTTCTGCCTGGTCGAGCCCCTGCCTCCCCTCCAGCCCCTTCTCAAACCAAGGCTCCATCTTGCTCTCCCTACTCCACTGACGCTAGCTTTCTCACCACCCTTTCTCTTTATCATGCACCTGTTGCCACAGGGCCTTTGCATGTGCTGTTCCCTCTTTCTAGAATGATCTTCCCCTCTCTCCTCAACTAGTTACGAACTACGGTATGTGGCATATAGGAAGGGGAGGGGTTTGTCTCTGACTTTGTGTATGTGAATATCACCTTCTTGTGTGTGGTCACCTCAAGTCTGCAGTTTCCTAAAGCAGTCTCCATGTTGTATATCCAGCTTCTGCATCCCTACATGTCCCTGTTCCTCGTCAGTCCCAAGGCCGTGGTGTGGGAGGGCCCTCACTGCCAGCATTACCTCCTTGGACCTGCGCGAGGATGAAGCCATCACAGCACGGATCCCGGTCACATGCAAGAAGACAGAAGAGATGTGCGTCGGTCACATTGGCTCCTGAGGCTGAGAACACGAAGGGGCTGTACATTCCGGAGAGCGTGTTTTGGAAATCAGTTTGTTCAAAGCTTTTCTGACTCATGGTGGTGAGTTGTTGGCCTGGGGATAAAGCAGAAACATTTTTTAAAAGATTGAAAACAGTGCAGAGTTGAACAGAGCTTACAATCTCGTGTGATAGTGGGCCTTCCTTCTGTGTTAGGGCAGTGAGTCGTCTCAGATGAGACACAGTCTGAGCCATGAAACTTCGGATCTGCATGCACATGAAGGGGGAGAAGCCAGACACGGCCCCGCCTAGACCACAGCAGACCTGGACAGACTCCCATCACACCTTTGAGGGGCTGAAGGTAAATGTGGAGAACGGGCATTGTTATTATTTTTATTGTTACCAGCAAATAATTATTGAGCTCAACATTATTGGGTGTAACCATACACATGTGGAAGGCATTGGTGGTTGAGTGGTAGAATTCTCGCCTTCCATGCAGGAGTCCTGGATTCAACTCCCAGCAAATGTACCTCATGCACAGCCACCACCCATCTGTCAGTGGAGGTTTGCGTGTTGCTATGATACTGAACAGGTTTCAGCAGAGCTTCCAAACTAAGATGGACTAGGAAGAAAGACCTAACCACCTACTTCTGAAAATCAGCCAGTGGACAGAATGGAAGCTGGGGCTGAGGGCAAGGAGTGGGTCACTAAATGCCTCCCTCTGGTACCCGGCCTGAGACATAGACCAGGTTAAACCACTGAGGCTCTGAGCCATCCAGCTCCACTAACCTACCCTGTTTCAAATACACAGCCAGAGAGTCTTGATCCTGGCGCCTCACTTTCACCTGGCACCTTAGACTTCCAAAGCTGGTGGCCATCACGTTCCCCAATGCATTTTCTTCCTGGAGATGGAAAGAGGCTGAATTACCATCTTGTGATGTTTAAAGATTCAACGCAACAAACATTTATCAAACTCCAACCTATGCCCCAGGCACCTAGCTATGTACTGGTGGGCCACCGATAAAGCTAGAGAAGGTCCCTGCCTCTTAGTTTCTCTCCATCTATTGGGGGAGACAGACGTGTAAGCAGTAAATTACAGCGCAGAGTGTTACCTGCAAGAGACACGTAAAGTACTGAGGAGGGGGTGATGAATTCCATTGAGAGAGGGGAGCTATAAAAGCTATGAAAAGTGAACCTGGATGGGGTTCTGATACATGGGTAAGAGTTCGCCAGGTAGAAACAAGAGAAGGGGGGGTTTCAGGCAGAGGAAACAGCAGGTGCAGAGATGTGGAATTCCATGGTGTTTGCAAGAAATGAGAGATTACACGGGACCTCCCATGGATCAGCAGTCATTTCTTCACCTGATCTGCTTGGGGTTGAACTAATCAGAGCATGTCTGGCAGAGAATGGGCAAGAGGCAGAACTGCCACGTGGCTGCCATGGCTGACCTGATCAGAAGCTGTGCAGACGATGCTGTCGTTTGTCCCAGCATAGAATTCACATGAGACTTCTGGTCCCCCCGTCGACACCGTGAGGAAGATGCAGACCTCGTCGTCCGCACAGTCTGCAAGGACCATGGAGACTGTCACCCACTGGCCTATCTCGATTGATGCTAAGGACAGTGCAGACACATAACCACCCCTCCTCCCCAACCCTAAACGTGCACCCCCCCCACACATACAAACAGGAGACACTGAGCGCGCACCACGTACCCCATGCTGTCAAGCACTTTATACATTCATGACCCATTGAATTCTCACTTTATAGATAAGGAAACTGAACACTGAGAATGTCAGCTACTTACGTAGGGTCACCAAGCTGGTAAGTGGTAGAGCTAGGATTAAATCTAAGCAGTTAGGCTTTGGAGCCCTGGTGGCACAGTGGTCAAGAGCTCGGCTGCTAACCAAAAGGTTGGCAGTTTGAATCCACCAGCCTCTCCTTGGAAACCCTATGGGGCAGTTCTACTCTGTCCTATAGGGTCGCTATGAGTGGGAATTGACTCAATAGCAATAAGTTTGGTTTGGTTTTTTAGAGTTAGACTTCAGAACCTGTGCAGTTACTAAGTTGTGTCTTCCACTGAGATCACAACTTCTTTCAAGGCTATGTTCCATTTCCATCAGGGGACTGATAGCTGTCCTATTGGGAACTCTAAAGACAAATGAAATCACAATTCCCAACTATGTACAGTGAGTGCCTCTCATAACGACAGGAGACCATAAGCTTGATAAGGGCTGGGATCATCGCTGTTCTTTGGGAACATGGTATGACAAGCATGGAGAATATTGCCCAGCACACAGAAGGCTCTGAAAATGTGATAGATGAATAAATAAAGTCAAAATTATTTCCATATTTAATCATGTTATATTCATGAACAATGATAACAGACAACGAATGATTTAGCAAGAATAGGAAGTCTGGTAGAAAACCTAAGTTAAAAAAAATAACTTCCACTTGTATTTTTATAATTACAGGGCACTTTCACTACAATATTCATATTGATTCTTGCACAACCCTGAGAGATATATTTAGAGATGAGGAAACCAAGAATAAGCCTTGGCAAGGCCACATGGCTGGATGGTGGCAGAGCTGTTATTCAAATGCCCTTGAACTCCAATTTCTGGGCTCTTCCCACTGTATTTTGCTAGCTGAGGGCAAGAAGAAGCCACTCATATCTGGTGACTGAAATGTCTGCATTTTCTCTAACAGGACATCTCAAGCTGTGGCTCTCCCAGAATCAGGCCTTGGGTGTGAAGTTGGTCTTAGGGATTCCCATCATCTCCAGATTTTCCTTTCAGCGTTGAACAGCTGCAACACCCTCAATGACTAGGCTCTAGGAGATACATGGTGTCCTTTTGTTCACAAACTGCCTGGCTCATTCGGAACCTGAGAAAAATCACTTTTATTGACTTGCCTAGCTTCTGGCCCTAAAGCCCTCCTCTTCCCTCAGTTAAACTACCTCGATCTCTCACTGCCAGCAAATTCCTGCTTCTGGCTCTGGGACAAATCCAGTGAAGAAAACACATACATGTCCGAGGTCAGTAGTAGAACAATCAGCACCCTTGATCAACTCTGGTTGGTCAAGTAATGATCTAGAACCAGGGCTCCTGCATAGTTGTAACCAAACTTCACCTCAGCTTTCACTAAACCCAGTCTCCCCTTTCCTTCACCATCAACAACAGCCACCCTCCCCATGGCCATAAACCAATAAAAACCAAACGCATTGCCGACGAGTCGATTCTGACTCATAGAGACCCTATAGGACGGAATAAAACGGTCCTATAGGGTTTTCAAGGCTTCTTTATGGAAGCAACTGCCACATATTTCTCTTGCAGAGCAGCTGGTGGGTTTGAACCATCAACCTTTTGGTTCGCAGTTGAGTACTTAACCACTGCGCCACCAGGGCTCCTTCCCACAGCCATAGTGGCTCTATATTCCTACCTCTGAAATGTCCCTTCCACCTACCATAAAATTGTTCTGATGCTGAATGCTTGGATCCCCGCTGGACCTACAAATACTCCCTGTCCCTGATTGCCCTGGTCTCTTTCATCTGATAGGTCACCATCTGTCCAGATCTTCCTGACATGGCTGTCTTGCTGAAACTGTTTCCTCTCCCCATAGTTTTGACCGTGAGTTCAACCTGGATGATTGAACCATCTCTCAACACTAACAGATGGACCTGTCCTCCTTGCTCTCCTTATTCCCTATGATTCTGTGTCCTCTTTTTCTGCGTATTCCACTGGTTTCCCATCTAACTCAAGCTGTGTCACAACGTACAACATGTGTGTGGTTATGTGAGTATGTGTATGATATTCCTTGCCAAGACAAACAACTACCATAGCTCTTAATCAAGATTGCTTTCTTGGTGCTGGTTCCTCATGTCTATTCTGTTGACCTTTGGTCCTGTGCCTCCAATTCCTGTGAATATCATTCATTCTACAAATCTTTTTTCAGCTCCTACTTCATGCCTTGCACTGTGTGGTAAAGACAGTAGCATATGCTCATCGTAACCAAGCAGACATCCAAAACACATGAAAACTCAGATTGTTAGTTACTTAACAAGTAAACCACATGTGGTTACTGAGGGAGGCATGATGCAATAATTAAGATCAGGGACTCTGGCATCCTTTAGCCTGGGTCTGAATCGAAGTTGGGTCATTTGCTTGACCTGTGTCATTGGGCAAGTCACTTAATCTCTCAAAGCCGTATTCTCCTCATCAGTAACTTGGGATAACAATGACTACTGGATTGTAGGATTATGAGATAATCCTTGTAAAGATACATGCTCAATAAACAATGATTGTCACTATGCCCTCTCTGACCTTCCTGTTGAAATAGACATATATGTCTCCCACCCTGGACAATTAGCTCTACAAGGAACTATACTTCCTTCATTCCTGCTTGCTAACATGTAGCATAGCTCTCGGGATATAGTTCTTGTGTGTCATTGAGTCAATTCCAATTCATAGCAACCCTATAGTAGATGCCCTGAAAAGTGGAATGAAATGATGAATTGAATATACATTGTGGAAATCAATTGATTTACAAAGTGTTTTTGATAAAACATGTTTTTCATTATAGTTTTAACAGATTTGGTTTTGTTTGCCAAGATCAACAAAGCATATTTCTACACCTTCTCCCTCGCCCCATTCCCACCGCCCCTCCCCCTGGGGAGGAGAGCTTCCCCTCACCTGCCAAACACTGCATCAGTGGGGACTCCGAACCAGGGACTTTGGAACTGATGACAAAAGGAATGTCAGCACTGAAGATCACCTTAGATTCTGAAAGCTTCTCAAATTTCCGCATCACTGAAAAGAAAGCAGATCTGTGAAACCGCATTCTGAAGAGAGCGGGACATCTGCAGAGAAGCCAAAAGAGTGTTAGGTCAAGAAGTCACTTCTTAATGATATGCCACTTCATCTTCACTAGGATGGCTATTTTATATATGTATGTGTATATGCATATATATACATATATATATACACATACATATATACACATATACACATACATATCACACCAAAAAATCCATTGCTGTTGAGTCAATTCTGACTCATAGTGACTCTATAGGACAGAGTAAAACTGCCCCATAGGGTTTCCAAGGAGCGTCTGGTGGATTCGAACTGCTGACCTTTTTGTTAGCAGCTGAGCTCTTAACCACTGTGCCAGCAGAGCACCATATATATATAAATATATATATTAAAAATACAAATTTTATGTTTTATATATAAAGACATAAAAATATTTATTATATATAATATTTTACATATAATATTGTGTATATATATATATACATATATATATATAAGAAACCAGAAAATAACAAGTGTTAGAGAGGATGTAGAGACATCAGAACACTCGTACATTGCTGGAGGGACTGTAAAATGGCTTATCTGCTGTGGAAATCAGTTTGGTGGTTCCTTAAAAGGTTAAACAGAATTACTGTATGACCCAGCAGTTCCACTCCTAGGACTATCCCCAAAAGAACTGAAAGCAGCAACTCATACAGACACATGTACAGTTCTAGCCCTAAAAGAGTCCATGGTCTAATGGGGTGGGAGCTAGAGATAAGGCTGGGTGTATAAGAGGTGACTTTATCCAAAGAGCAATGCAGAACAACTGAAGCACTTTAAGGGGCACTGCAGAGACAGAACTGCCTATTAGAATAACTCCCTGGTGGCAGGGTAGAAGAGAGGCTGAGGGGGCAGGACGGAGCAGGGGGATGAATCAGGAAGCTGCGGCAGCCGTCCAGTTGGATGACCACAGAGGCCTGGGCAAGGGTAGTGGTGGGGTGGACAAGGTTGATAGATACCTGCTTGGGGAGTTACATAACTGACCTCTAAGCACTTTGCTTTTTCTGGAGGACAGTAGCCTCAAAAATGAGACTGAAATTCCATTCCTACAGAGGAAAGTCCTCTCAAAGGCAGGTGAGAGAATGCTGAAAGCAAGAGCATGTTGACTTCCTGTGAAGACCAAGATTGTTAACATGAAACCCCCCTGCATACCCGGAAAGGGAAGCTGCAGCTTGCGGCTTTGCATCCGAAGCCAAAGGAAAGGGGACGCTGAGGATTAATGTGGTAGATACTCATCAGCCTGCACCTCAGGGAAGCATCATCAAAGCTGCCAGAGCGGGGCTGTTACTCATAGATGCTTCTGGTGCTGCTGATAAAACTGCCTTTCTGCCAGAAGAAGCCATGAAATACTTTACAAAGTGCATATTACAATCCTCACTTCTGGGCCATTGACAAGCACTTAGCTAATAATCTCAAAATAGCCAATATTAGTGGGGCCTCAGGCAAAGCGCATATGCAGCTGCATATTAATCTCTCAAAGCGCCTCCAGCTCTAATTCCTCTGATTGCTATTTCTGCCCAAGAGGAGGGATGTTGGAAATCATATTAAGACCTTCATCGGATTTGCAATTTATCCGTGGGGACACAAAAAATCCTTGGAATGTGTTAGCTCTTTGCTGGAGATGGGAAGTGATTGTTCTGAGCAATGGAAGATGAACATTTCTCATTTGGATTTTCTCTGGGGCTTTATGTCATTAGCTGTACCAACTTCCCTAGGGGACAGACAGGCTGCTTGTTTGAGTGAGTGAGTGAGTGAGTGAGCATGTGTGTGCATGTGTGCGTAACAAGGAAGGAGAGAGACAAATCTAAATAGAAGCACAGCCTGATATAATGGAAAGAACAAGGGTTTGGGAGTCAGTGCCGTCACTAGGGTTGGTATCACCTGTCACCCGTCACTCATTGTGGTAACATGCTCAGCCCCCCACCTCGTCACCCATCAGTCAGTGTGCGAGTGGGCAGGCCTTAGCACCTGCCATTGGACAGACAGGTCTCCACTTTGGCCAATGGGAGAGGGGAGGAGCTGTGGGGAGCCACGGGGGCAGGGGCGGGAGGGACGGGGCCACTCCGCGCGGGGGCAAGGGGTGAGGGGGGTTCATTGGCAGGCCCCACCCACGGGGGAGTGTGGCATCATGAATTACCAAACTGGGTGACATCAGCCCTAGTGACATCACTGATACCAGTAACCAGTTGCCGTTGAGTCAATTCCAAATCATGGCCATCTCTACCATCTCAAACTCCAGTTATGCTATTTCCTCAGTGATAAGGAGCCCTGGTGACGTGACAGTTAAGCGCTCGGCTGCTAACCAGATGTTGAAGGTTCAAACCCACCCAGCAGCTCCACAGGAGAAAGACCTGGCGATTGGTCCTGTAAGATTACAGCCTAGAAAACTCTATGAGGCAGTTCTCCTCTGTCACATGGGGTCGCTAGGAGTTGGAATTGACTCAAAGGCACCCAACAACAACAAAAACTACGCGATAAGAATAAATCACTAAATCATCCTTTGTCTCACTTTCCTCAGCTAAAATACTGGGGATACTAACGTCTACCCATTGAACTCCTGCGAGGTTTGCGTGTGGTAACACAGAAAACGCCTGGCTCGGTACTGGCACGTAGTAGGCCCTGGCCCCTCTCCTTCGGCAGAAGGACTGAGGCAGTCCAGCACAGGCAAGGCTTGCTCTGGCTTGTCAGTCAGCCTCAGACCTCGCACAGGTGACAGTGACTATGGGAAGGTGAGGGAGTCTGAGGACTTAGCAGATCAGGAGAAGAGGACCTTGGCGATTGTCTCAGCCACCCCCTCATTTACCAGATGAGAAAACAAGGCCCGGTGAATCGTAACTACTGCTACTGGGCCTTCAAGTCAGTCTCAGGAAATATTGATTACCCCTCATGGGCGTGTCATTGCCAGTGCACTCAACACCCCTCCAATGTAGGCATTAATAGCCCCATTTTGCAGATGAGAAAATGTTGAGGGTACATGATGTGCCCAAGACCACACAGCACCATGCCTTTCCCTTCCGTTCCGTGGATTTCCTACCGCACCTTGTACTGTAGGACATTGGAGGGTTCACCTGGGACTATCCCACCAGCGATCCCATTGAAGAACTGTATAGAAGGATGACTGTACAAAAGGATGCTGATGCTCACCATATCTCAGGAGACAGGCAAGGGGCCGCTGCAGGGTGGGGACAGAGGATCAGAGAGGTTAAGTGCCTTGCTCTGGATCACCCAGCGAGCCGGCTGTGAAACAAGGACTGGCACCCAAGTCTTTCCACAGCAGCCTATGGAGGCAGAAATGCTGTCCGGCTCCATGGAGGCAAGCGACCAGCGGCCAGGGAAAGGAATTCTCAGCAGATTATTTTTTTACATCAGCTCTCATGCATGCTGAAGTATTTAGGGGTGAGGTTTCAAGGAAATTTACTTTCCATTGATTAAAATAGACGAGAAGGAATAAACAGCAAAATACTAACAATCCGTGGATCTAGGTGATGGATATATATACTTTTTCAAAATAAAACATTGGTGACAAATGCATCTCACCCAACTCTCTCTCTCTCTCTCTAAAGCCCTTCAACCCGTGCCCACTCCCCGGTGACCGAGGCCAGCTGAACTGCCAGCACATACTCAGACACTGAGACTCGGTGAGCAGGGCCTCCGTTTCCGACCCAGGCAGCCTCTGCCCCTCACGGTCCACACAGACGGCCTTCCCACTGGCCCTGTCTGTCTGGCGCGCCCGGTACTGGCCATCCTGGTCACACTGCAGGCCTGCCTCGTTCCTCTGACAGTCGGTGACACCTGGAACCAAGACATTGACCCAGCGATTAGCAACATGCCCTCGGGATTCCCTCCCCTCGGGACTCCAGCCCCTAACCTGTTTATCAGACATCCAAGCCACATATGTGACCTAGACACTCCAGCTTAAAGCTCTTCAGTGTCCCCACCCTGGCCAAAGGACAGTGTCCAGGCTCCCTATTCTGGCCAGCAAAGCCCTGTGACCTGGTCCCCAACCAGCCTAACCCCTGTCCATCCTCCCTGTGCTCCAAACACAGTTGGCCATTTCCAGCACCTTGACCACTCCGTCCTCTCTGATATCATTGCTCCAACGCAGGCTCCGCTCCTCCTGGCCTGGTGCCTGGTCCTCCCCAGCCCTCTCTGGGTTAACTCCCCAGTGCTCTACAGCTCCTAGCTTAATCCTCGTTTCCCCAGGGAGGCCAAGTCCAGCCCACCTGCTCCACACTCTCCTAGCAGCCTGCACCTCTCCTTCATAGCAAGGAGCATGGTCTTCATTTACATTGACGTGTGTGATTGGTGGATGAATGTCTGACTCCCCTGGAGGGGAAGCTCCCAGAGGTGGGCAGGGACCAGGTCTCTCATTATTGTATCCCAGTGCCTGGCGCAGTGTCTAACACTCAGCAGGGGCTCCAAAACATCAATGAATATTAGTTGAATACAGGAATGAATAACTCTACTCCTGTGCTTAGCTATTTCCTCTGCCTGGAAGGCCCTTCTCCACCTGCCCCACGGCAGGTCCCCACTACTCTCAAGGCCTGATGCAAGCCCTCACAGCACTTAGCAAGTTAACAAGAGTATGAACCACTTACATTTCTACATTCATGTGCTTACTTTCGTATCAGACTCTAAGCCACTTACAAAAAACAAGCAAACAAACCCGTTGCCGTCGAGTTGATTTCAGCTCAATGCAACTCTATAGGACAGAGTACAACTGTCCCATAGGGTTTCCAAGGAGCAGCCGGTGGATTCAAACTGCTGACTGTTTGGTTAGCAGCCTGAGCTCTTAACCACTGCACCACCATGGCTCCTTGAGGACAGGAATTTATCTCCCCGTGTTTTATAGACCCAGGACTTGGCACACAGCAGGTGAGTGATACAGTTTTGATGAATGCTATCAAAAGGGAGTATCCTGACTTGGTCCTCTAGGGGTGGGAAATAGGTGAAAGATAACGTTTTATAGCAGACCAGAGATTTGAGAAATCTAATTTTCTATATTTTAAGACTATTACTTATGTGATTAATATTGACAACTATTGGGGGGAGGTTAACAAAAGCTACTTTTTAAATAGAATGTTTTCCATGCCAGACATGATATATATGAATTAATAAATCAATAAACAGGCAAATAAATAAAGAGCTACTCAGTTAACAACCAAACTTGCTGCCCGTCAAGTCAATTCCAACTCGTGACAACCCTAAAGGACAGAATAGAACTGCCTATAGGGTTTCCAAGGCTGTAATCTTTATGGAAGCAGACCGCCACATCTTTTTCCCATAGAGCAGCTGACACATTTGAACCGCCAACCTTTCGGTTAGCAGCCAAGAACTTTAACCACTGTGCCACCAGGGCTCCTTGGTTAACAATAAAAACCCATTGCCATTGAGTCAATTCAGACTCATAGAGAGCCTACAGGACAGAGTAGAAGTGCCCCGTAGGGTTGCTAAGGAGTGGCTGGTGGATTTGAACTGCCAACCTTTCGGTTAGCAGCTGTAGCTCTTAACTACTGCACCACCAAGGCCCCAGTTAACAATAGAACCTCACAAATGATCCAAAATTGGACCTGCTAGGTTGGTAAATACAGGAGAAAAGTAAAGCTGGTGTTCACAGCATCCAATGCCAGTACAAGGTATTTGTAAGTGAGAACTGTAACAGAGACCTCAACTATATAGAGGAATTGGGATTCTGAAAAATATTCTAACACCAAAGGGAAACCAAGGGAATATCGTCATCGCTTGGCATCATTTAAAACACAGCAGACTTTCCAGCTCTGTGCTTCTCTTCACCATAATTCTATCTGAGGACACAGACCAGATAACTCAATAGGCAGAATGGTGGAGTTAGAGTCATGGCGAAGTTCTTGGGCAGAAATAGGCCCTTTAATAGACTCTAGCTCTGACCCTGGAAAACCATTCACTAAAATCTATGCTATTGCCCAAGGGAGATGATGGAGAGAGTGGTGAGGAGGCAACACAGCCCCCCCTACTGCATGGAAATGCAACGAAACTCAACTCAAAAAGTGAGCTGGCGATGGATATTTATGGTACACTTTGCAGGCACTTTAAACATTGATCCAAGCTTTATAATCATTCTATCAGTGAGGTAGGAGCCGTGGTGGTACAGTGGTTAAGCACTCAGTTTCCACCTGAAAGGTCAGCAGTTCAAACCCATCCAGCAGCTCCTTGGAAGAAAGACGTAGCTATCGGCTCCAGTAAAGATTACAACCAAGAAACCCTGTAGGGCAGTTCTATTCTCTCACATGGGGTTGCTATGACTCAGAATTGACTCAATGGCACCTAACATCAACAACATGAGTGAGGTATATTGGGCCCACAGAACAGGCAAACAAGTTGACATTGTGAGAGGGAAGTGAGTGGCCTAGGTCACAGTGCCAGTAAGAGGGAACAGGGAAGGAGCTGGGTCTGGCTAGGGCTGAGCCTCAGCCTCTTGCTCTGCTCCCCTCCCCTTCTGTTACCCCCTCTATAAACAAGGACCAGAACATTGCACTGATCTCTCCTAAGAAAGAATGTCTCTTGCAGTGGATGGCACTTGGAGCTATTTCAACCATAAGGCCTAGAGTCAGTGTGTTCAAACTGAGGGTGATGTCCAGCTGTCAAAGACACTACGGTCTTGAGCAGAATTTCTTCTCCAGGAGGGAAGACAGACTCCTGGCCTTTACAAAGTCCTCTTACATTTATTTGCTTGGAATCACAGCCCACTGCTCTCCTGACCAGGAGCCCTGGTGGCGCAGTGGTTAAGCACTCAGCTGCTAACCACAGGGTCAGCAGTTCGAACCCATCAGCTGCTGCGTGGGATAAAAGACCCCTTGATCTGCTCCCATAAAGATTACAGCCTAGAAAAACCTATCAGGCATTTCTACTCTGTCACATGTGGTCACTATGAGTCGGAATGGACTGGATGGCAAAGGTGTGAGCACTCCTGACCAAGGAAACTTAGTATCCTTTGGTTAATTGCTTTTTAAATTCGAGAAATTATTCATATCTTAACCAATGACGATTTGCCTCATGTTGACACAAGTTCGGGTTGACATGAAAAGATGTGAAACAAAGCACGTTATGGGAGTTTGCTAGGAAAAACCCAACAGTACCCAGCTGACTATTAAAGTAGGCCAAGTGAAGTCACATGACATCCAGGAAGGCCACAGGAACATACTGTCCTGACAAAGGCATCAGGCCCGAAGAGGACTCTGCGTGGCACACAGCACCTACTGCAGATGGAAAGTATCTTGCACTTCTCCATCTGATAACGGCAACTTACAAATAATCAGAAGTTTCAGAATCAGATAAAACCAAGTTCAAAGGCCAGCTCTTCTGAGTGACTTTCTCTAAATTATATTACTTCTTTGTAAAAGTAGGAATTATAACATTTACCTGGAAAGAGTATGGGGAAGACTGAATGGGACAGCAGATAGGCATTCAAACATGGTGACCCCTTAGTTTATGGTGCTGTGTATCCAGTGGTTCTCAACCAAAACCCAAACCAAACCTGTTGCTAGCAAATCGATTCCTACTCATGGTGACTCTTTGCCCTCAGGGGACGTTTGGCAATGTCTCCCTGTGAGTCGGAATCAACTCCAAGGCTACAGGTTTTGAACAGGTAGACATCTTCGGTTGTCAAAACTGTGGGGGTGCGATTAGCATCTAGCAGGTAGAGGTAGAGATGCTGCTAAACTCCTACGATGTACCAGACAGCCCCCTACCCTTAACAAGGAACTATTTGACCAAAATGTCAACAGTGCTGACTTCGGGGAACCCTGCTCTGTCCCCCCTTAGATTGCAGCGTTCCTCTTTCTAAGCAGGACGCTGCAGAACTTACAGTGGGTCTGGCTGAAAGCTCCAGCGGACATGGTCGTTCTGCCCACAGGACACGGGACACAGGCAGAGCCACCTGCTCGTTCTTGGTAGAATCCAACGGCACAGGGAACACATTGTTCATCCTGAAAATAGCTTCCTTCAGGACATTTAACTAGAAAAAATACACAAGGAAATGACGTTAAAGAACAAGTGACTTGCTTTACAGTTACAACCGCAGAAGACACAGGGTAGGTGAAATCCTAAAATCAGTTCAAGAGCTCATTCATTCAACAAACATCTATTGAGAACCTACTGTGTGTCAGGCTCTAAGAGCTGGGGATACAGCTAGGAAGAAGGCCAACAAGGTACCTGCTCTCCAGGAGCTGACATGCTAGTACAGGGAGAGAGTGTCAGACAAGAATGTCAGATATGGGAGAAATGAAACAGGTGTTGTGATGGAGAGTGAGGACAGAGGAGGGCATGTTAGGGAGGGAAGGCCTTCTAAGGAGGTGACACTTGAGCCTTGCATGATGAGGAGTAAGCCAGGCAAAGATCTTCTGCCGTCAAGTCGACTCTGGTTCATAGCGACCCTATAGTACAGAGTAGAAGTGCCCTGTAGGGTTTCCAAGGACAGGCTGGTGGGTTCAAACTGCCGACTTTTTGGTTATCAGCCGAGCTTTTAACCACTGTACCACCAGGGCTCCTGGCAAAGATCTCGGGGAAGAGAATTCCAGGCAGAGGGAACAGCAAGTGCAAAAAACACTGAAGTAGGAATGAGTTTGGATTGTTCAAGAGCTGAAAAGAGAAAAGCCAGGGTAGCTAGAGCTTAGTAGCCCAAGGGAAGAATAGCATGAGATGAAGCTGGAGAATTACTTGAAAGATAAGGGTCCATCCATAGGTCTCCATGGGAACTCTTCCCAAAGTGAAGGGCATGGTGTAACACAGTGGACGGTGTGAGCTCTAGGGTTGGGCAGATTTGGTAAAGTCCCTCTCCCCACTCTACCCTTATGATTGGACTTTTCTGGGCTCCATTTCCTCCTCTGTAAAATGGGGGTTAATAATACAATCTCATTGGAGTGTAGTGATAATGTACATCAAGTACCTATCTTAATGCCACCTTCACATAATGTGCTTAACAAATGGTTATTGAGGAACCTGAGGAAGTCCTTCCTTGTCACCAGCCTGAATCACTCACTCTGTTCAAACATGGCCCCTCTCTATGTGGGGCAATTTCAATAATTCAGCAACATCTCATTTGACTGACATGACTTCTCTCCCTATCAGTTGTTAATAACACCGCTCAGGCCAGGGACCAGGGTGGGCGAGTGACAACATTGAGACTGAGAGCCTCCACATATTTTGTGCCCTGGGTGCCTGACTTGCCTCTCCCTCTCCACGATATTCATTACTTCTCCCCCATTAGTCTGCCAATTCTCAGTGCTTCCTGGCCCTCTGATTCTAACACCCCCAACCCCTCCTAATTTGCCTCCTCTAATATGATACGGGGAGTCCCTGGGTGGTGCAAATGGTTAAAACATTCAGCTGTTAACTGAAAGGTTGGAGGTTCAAGTTCACCCAGAGGTGCCTTAGAAGAAAGCCCTGGCGATCTACTTCCAAAAAATCAGCCATTGAAAACCCTGTGGAGCACAGTTCTACTCGGACACACATGGGATCACCATGTTGTTGTTGTTGTTGGCAACTGGTTCTGGTTTAATATGATACAGGCTGGGAAACCAGACAACCAACCTGGAGGGACGTATATCTCATAAGGTTTCTAGGTTGGGGTCCGAGGAGCCCTGCTTGAAGAAAGCATGTGAAGTTGGCCACACTGATATTGATGGCTCAGAAAAGGGGTAAGAGAAGGAGGCTCTTTTTGCTTTCTTTCTTGGTTCTGTGTTGTGTTTCCAAGAGTTTGCCAAATAACTTCCAGAAGAAGTGAGTTGTTACCCAGTGAAGGAGGGAGCTAAAATCTTGCCTGCTCTTGGGAGAGTCTACTATGTGCCTGGCACTCTGCTATGCACCCAGTGTCCATGAACACAACACTTCTGTGAGTTAATATTTTATCCCCATTTCAGAGAAGAGAAAGCTGAGCATCAGGACATTCATACATGACTTCCTGGCATGCTTTTCTGCAAAGGGCGGTGGAGAAGTAAAATTATAGACTATGCCAAGCACAGCACTGGGCATCTGAATGTGCTATCTCAGTCCAATGAGAAAGGTATCATCCCCCTTCTCCCCATTTTAACTTGAAGGAAACAGAGGTTCAAGGTCAATGTAACACAGGCTGTGAGGTGATAGAAGTGGGATTCAAAGCCCATTCTCTCCAAACCAAAGCCCTTGCTCCACCCACCATTCCAAGCTACTTCCCTTAGCAAAGAAGGAAGCACCAGGATGTGGAGCGTCTGGGGATGGAGCCAGCTTTGGTGTAGCAGCTATTATCTCTAGTCTGGGTATGTACTTGGCATTTCTGAGTAAATCAGAAACTTAAACCACATCTTGGAAACTGAACAATGTGTTTTCCGGTCTACCCCAAGCAATTAATATCCTCCCTCAGAGAGTGAGGTTTCATTACTTCTATGAGTCAGGCTGTTGACGATCATCTCTAGCATTTCAACCCCAAAACTGATCATGTAATAAAGTAAGTAGTCTTCAAAGTCACTGCTAAAGGGCAACTAAAGCTTCTCAGCTGACCTGAGTTGCACTGCCTCCAAAACCCGGCTGCCCATGGAGGAGCAGAAATAAGAAAACAGGGAACTAGCTTTTGGGCAAACCCTGCCAATGCCAGGCCCCTTCATTGTGCTCAAGGTACGTACATTCTCTTCCCTCCCACCACTTCTCTTCGTCTCTGACGTCAAGAGTCTTTCCCCACAAAAGAACACTTTCACAACTCAGAATGAGACCATGGCTCAGTTGTCATCATCATCCTTCCCTCTGCTAGTGGGTTCTCTCAAAGACGGTTGAGGCCACTGCAATAACTGAGTGCTCACCCTTCAGTAAAATCACTCAATCAAAGTCATTGGAAAACCCTTTGGCCTCCGTTTCCTCCTTTGTAAAATGGAACAGTTTGGTCTAGGTGAGTTGGAGCATTTCACAAAGCTTTGGGTTATGCTACCCTCCTGCCAACCCTCTTGCTATAATCCCCCAAACAGTGACAGCCAGGTTTCTGCTGAAGAAAAATATCTGCGAGTAAACATGGTCTTTCTCCCTTAGCTGCACTCCACCGCACACCTGGCCCTAACACTTGCCAACTTCAAATTCTTCCATGGTGCCCCTCACCAGTCCAAGCCCCTTGCCCTAGCTCTCTATTAACTTAGCTTCTCCCAACTAGACTGTGAGCTCCTTGAAAGTAGGGGCTGTGTTATTTTTCTTTCTTGAGCATGTAACATGGTGTTTGGCACATCTTTTGAAACCTTGGGTGGATGGATGGAAAGATGGATGGGGTGGATGGATACATGAGTAAACGGATGGATGGAGAGACAGAGGGATAGAAAAAAGGAAGGAAGGAAACAAGATACTACATGTTACCTTGGGGAAAAAAAAAAAAAACCTATAGGGAACTAGTTCTATTCAAAGAAACTTTAGTGAATAGGGGAATGGTAACAAAGCCCAGAATGGAAAATGGAAAATTCGGACAATTTCTGTGGGATTCTGCCCAGTAGACCAATCGAGTAGGAAGGCTGCCAGTTTCAAGAGGAAGCTGTCTGGGTGGCCTAGAGGCCAGAGCGTGAATGTAACTGACCCCCCTCCCCGAGCTGCAGAGAAAGCCCCCATTGCCTGCAGTGTCCAGTTCCTTGACCATTCCCACCATCCCCCTGGGTTACACCCTCCATGGTGGCCATCCAAATGAGCGTCCCTGAGAAACCCTGCTACATCTCCATAGGACAATGCTCTGCTTGTCATCTCACAGCTGTGTTCCAGATGTAACTGCATTTTAGAAGGAAAAAGAGCCAAAAAGCTCGAATTCAAAAACCCAAGGGCATGACCGAGGATCGCTTTATTGAGAAGGGAGATGTGTGACGTAGAGGACAGAACAAAAGATTTGTAGTCAGACAGATCTGAGTTCAAATCTCAGCACTCCAGTCAACAACAAGACCATTCGCTGAGTGTCTATCGGTGCCAGGGGTGTGCTATGCATCGATTATTTCATGTTATCCTCATAAAAGCTCCACAAAATAGGTAGTATTATTCCTGTTATTTTAGATCACACCTAATGAGGATAAGTAACTTTCCCAAGATCCCACAACTAGAAAGTGTTGGAGCCAGAACACAAACCAGGTCCTCCTGACTTCAAAGAGCAGTTCCAAACACTATTAACTGAGACCTCGGTTTCCTCTTCCACAATACGTGATTAATACTGACTCTCTGGACCAGAGAAATGCTAGTCAGGTCAGCACATACCAGAAACTCAATAAAGGATAGATAATATCACTGATACTGGGGGAAATCCAAGTCTTCGTGATTACTTTTGTGAATTCCATTCTGGACCTTTCTAAACATTTGGAGTAAGTGAGTAGGATTGAACAGTGTGATTTACATTGTTTGTGAGTCAGTAAGGGACTGCAGGAGTTGAAAAACAGAATGTAGATTTACCTAGAGCAGGAGTTGGCAAACTACAGCCCATGGGCCAAATGCAGCCCATCTTCTGTTTTGGTAAATAAAGCTTTATTGGAACACAGCCATGGCTTTCTCCCTGCAATGGCTGAGTTCAGTCATTAAGACAGAGACCTGTAAAGCATAAAACATTTGCTGTGCAGTCTTCTACAGAAAAAGCTGCCAACCCCTGTTCTCGAGCAAGTGTATCCTGGGCAAAACCTTTGACTCAGTCACGTCTCCGCGCCCCCCACCATTGGTGGTTCCCACCTTCTCTGAAGTCCTCATTACCTGAGTTCAGATGTTGGGTTCTGACCCCCAGTGTCCCTCACTGGCTGACACTTATGGACGTTTTCCCTCTTCAGGTGAGATTGTCAAGCTCCTAGCAAAGCCTCCCTCCCTCTCTTCCAGCTGAGCAGGACTACCCACCTCGGCAAACAGGCACTAACAATCTAGTTCCCAGATGGTCAGCCCTAGAGGTAATCTGGGGATCAGATTTCTAGTCCAACCCTTTTACTTATTGAAAGGGAGGCCCTGAGAGGGGAGAGGACTTGTTAAAAGCACAAAGTCCACACAGGTTCTACAGACCTGGCCCTTGACTACTACCATCTCCGTCTTCTGCTACTTCACATCTTAACTCCATGCTTCAGAGGTCTCAAAATGGTTCCAGACCACCTACATCAGTGCTAGCTGAGACGGTGGTGAAAGCAGGCTCTTGACTCCCACTACCTCCCCCCTCCCTCCCCCACGCACCTACTGATGCAGTCTTTGGCAGTGAAGTAAGGGCTTTTTGCACTGAAGTCTGAGAACACTACTGTAGGTGTTCTGAACACCTCTATCTCTTGATCCCATTTCACCCACTTTGACAGGTGGCACCCATCCACTCCTATCCCTGCCATTTGTCCTCTTTGTTTGGACAGCTCTGGTGAGGTGGCAAGATCACGTCTTCTGGTCCCACAGGACCTGGGGTTACTGGCCCACCGATAATTGGTTAGGTGAACTTGAGTCCCTGCTACGAGTCAGCCCTGCTCTGGGCACTAGAGATGTGTCATGTCATTTAATCGGAGCCTTAAACTGTTTACGTGTAAATTGGGTAACAATTGCCTGCTGCCAAGAGCTTTTCTGAGAGTTAAATCAAATATTTATGAAGATGCTTTAGAGACTGCAAAGTCCTCTATAAATATTAGAGGGAAGTAGTTTTGTCTCTGTTGTCTGTGTTAACATTTAGCTGCATCTTGGATCCAATTGGGGTTTAGAGCCTGACATGGATTTCAGAAACGGAAAGGCCGTGGAGCTTTTGTGTTGCAACCGACTGTAAATAATGAGACATAAATGAACTGAGATGCATCTTCTCTTTCTTCAGTTCAAGAAAAATGCCTCTCCATCTCACTCCACACAAGGAGGAAGGCTCCTCAACAAGAGATCCTTTAAGCTTCTGTGATAGATAGACTAATCCACTGCGATGGAGTCGATTCCGACTCATAGAGACCCTATAGGACAGAGTAGAACTGCCCCAGAGCCTTTCCAAGGCTGTAATCTTTACAGAAGCAGACTGCCACATCTTTCTCCCACGGAGTGGCTGGTGGGTTTGAACTGCTGACCTTTGGGTTAGCAGCTGAGTGCTTAACCATTGCACCACCAGGGGTGCTGACAGAATAGTGACTCCCCAAAGACGTCCCCATTCTAATCCCTGGAACCTGTGAATATGTTAAATTACATGGCAAAAAAAGAATTAAGGTTGCTGAGGGAACTAAGCTGCTAATTAGTTGATTTTAAAATAGAGAGAGTAGTCTGGATTATCCAGTGTATCTGTTGTAATCACAAAGGTCCTTCAAAGTAGAAGAATTAGGTGGATAAGAGAAGCAGAGGGAGATGTGACTACAGAAGAATGGTCAAAGAGAAGAGTCCTTGCTGGTGCTGAAGATGGAGAAGGGGCCACAAGAAAAGGAACGTGGGCAGCCTCTAAACACTGAAAATGGCGAGGAAACAATTGTCCTCAAATATTCCAGAAAGGAATGCAGCCCTACCAACACCTTGATTGGACCCCAATGAACCTGAGTCAGACAGCTAACCCACAGAACTGTAAGAGAATATATTTGCGTTGTTTTAAGCCACTAAGTTGGTGGTCATTTACTACAGCAGCAATAGGGAAATAATACAGCTTCCATTCAAGGGATTTATGGTTTCATCCCAATGAAAATGACTTCTGAAGCTACTTAAGTGTAAGGGCAAGAACAACCATAAGGACCCTCCATTGGGAATCACTTCTCCAGAGTTGTAAAGTCCAGGGCTAAAAAGCGGCCATTTGTGGTGAGTAACATATTGCTTAACCAGACTAAGAAATACGCACGAGAACACAAGGTAGACATTAGACTTTGGCACAAAGACAATGCATCCCAGGCCACAGGGTGTAAGTTAGTTAAGAGCTAACAGAAAGGATCACTTCCAACATCGAGGCTCTTCTTGCGTCATGCCGTCTGTCCCATAGTTACACCTCTTACCTGACGGGTCATGACTACATGTCCACACGGAGTGGACCATTGAAAAACTTTCACTGAATAAATAAACGGATGATTCTCAAATAAATGAATGATTCTATTGAGTCCAAGTGGCTCAACGACTGTAGTCCAGGAAGTGGGTCTTAGTCTGGAAGCTCCACTGCAACCTCTCCACTGTGGGTGACCCTGCCGGTATTTGACATGTCAATGGCATAGCTCCCAGCATCACAGCAACATAAAAGCCACCACAGTACAACAAACTGATAGATGGATGGTGGTTTCAGTGGAGCTTCCAGACTAAGACAGACTAGGACAAGAGGCCTGGAGATCTGCTTCCAAAAATTAACCATTGAAAACCCTGTAGATCACAACAGAATATTGTCCAATACAGTGTTGGAAGATAAGCCTCCTAGGTTGCAAGGCACTAAAATACGCAGTGGTAGCAACAATGCACTCGAACATACCAATGGTCATGAAGATGGCATAGGACCAGGCAACGTTTTTGTTCTGTTATACATAAGGTCACCAGGAGTCAGCTGTCAGAGCCGACTTGATTGCAAGTAATAACAATAACAACAGGAAGAGAGAGTGGACCTACCGCATCCCAGTGACTCCTGACTGGTTTTGCTGCTGGCCGAAACTCTGGAGAATCCTTCCAAGCACCCGAACCATGCCCTGGGAGAGGTTCCAAAGCGGTCCCCTTGGAGGAAGTGAATGGAGGTATCTGCTGGGAATGTCTTAGAATCCAGATGAAGCTGGAACTCGCCACTTCGGATCAGATCAGCAAAGCGCCCAACGAGATCCTTGCCCACTAAGGCCTCCTCTGTAAGACACAGGATGAGGCAGGAGGGTCACCTCGCTGTTCTCTGCAAGTGCCAGAGAGAATCAAGGGGGCAGAGCCACCCAAAACGTCCATGCTGAAACGAGACTTAGACATCATCTGGGACAAGCATCTGGTGTCCCATTTTACAAAGGGAGAAACTGAGGCCCAGAGAAGGGGATTAACTGGCCCAAGTTCACACAGGAGAGAGAAGCACAACTAGGATGCAAACACAGGTCCCTCGGCTCCAGTCATTTCTTGTGGCCTCAGGTGACCCACACAGGTATAGGATACCATGCCTTCAGTCACTACAGAATAAAGGTGCGTTATCCAGATACTGGAGCTCTGGTGGCACAGTGGTTAAGAGCTCATCTGCTAACCAAGAGGTCAGCAGTTTGAATCCACCAGCTGCTTCTTGGAAACCCTACTGGGCAGGTCTACTCTGTCCTCGTTATGAGTCGGAATCATCTCGACGGCAACAGGTTGGCTTTGGTATCCAGATACACATCTATCTCAACCTTTGGTAAGCTGCGTCTCTGAGCCTCAGTTTCCCCATTGGCAAAATGGGCCTGGGAATACTTCTCTTGCAGTCTTTGAGTATCATAAGATATAATGTATGTGAAGGAGCTACTCAAAGGGAAGTCAAGGACTCTAGGAGGCAATGTGGTTTTCCACCTCAGTGTTTAACTCAGCACTGAGAACACCTCCAGCTGTCAAACTGCATGCATTTCCTAGGAAGGAAGGACAGGACCACCGTATCAGAAGATGGGGAAGATCCCAGCGTGCCGCAAACATCCATGGTACCACAGGCTACTGGAAAGCCAGCCTGTGGCCCCAAACCACAGTCGTCAATGTCTGCACAATTGAAGCCAGGAATAAACTTCTACTACTGAAGCTTCAAACATACCCAAGTCATCCAGGTTCTCTGTGGAAGAAGACAGAAGGGGATCCCTAATTCATAACGCTGGGAGGTGGGTAACTTTTCACACAGATTAGAACTGGGCAATGACAGAGAAGCAGTCCACCTCCTGGGTTATACTCTGGCAATGTTTTCCAAAAGGTCCCCCTCAGAGAAAGAGGGAAAGCTTCAACCAGTCTTGGCCATGGGGCACTTGGTCATTGGATGATAGAAGAGAAAGCTGAGTTGGCCCTCATTCTCTGGTCAGAAATATGTGGGTTATTTCCCACCCCTGCCAGACAGCTCAGAGCTAAATGCTGTGCATGCTCATATTATTTATCCTCAAATCCACTCTGCCCCTTCTTCTTAGATCTTCCTACTCTTGACTCATCTGTACCATAATTTCCCTGTTTTAAATAGTGTAACAACGTGCTTAAATAGTGTAAGTGGTCTGAGATATTTACAATCAGAAGTTGGTGGGACGTAAATTATAAACCAATACGGCCCCCCTCACCTCACACTACACTCTTTCCTTCGTGACACTCTCTGTGCCCAAAACATCAAGAGAAGAACTAGAAGGTGTCCACAAAAGCACCATCAGGCTCTTGTTGTAGATCATGTGATTTAACTCTAGTAAGCTATTGACCAGAGTCTATGAACCTTTATCTAAGTTTTAGGAATTTGCTCCTTTTGTGTGCCAGGACCGTAACTCTCTCACTAGATCCCATAGGAAGGCCCAGTGGGCTTCGTTACTTCCATTTGAGGAGATGAGGAAACTGGGGCTCAGAGAAGTTGCATAACTTCTTCAAGGCAACAGTGCAGGAAAACATACCAATGTCATGCAAGTCAGGAAGTGAGGCCACTGGGATGTCCTCAAGCCGAGATTTCCACGTCACATTCACTCCTAAACGCTCCACAGTCAGACACTCCACATGCACCGTGGAGTCGTTGCAGACAGGAATGGAAACTGGGATCCCAAAAGTCTTCACCTACACCAAGACAAAGGTTTTCAGTTCAAGAGCACAGAGCAGGAAGCCAGTGTTGGTGGAGACCACACCAGGCTCCAGAACTTGACTTATGTTACTTCGTCTAATTTTCTTGTCAACCCTACATTAGGAGAGGAGGTGTTGTTAACCCTCTTTTCCCCATCTGTGAAAAAGAAGGCTCAGAGAAGTCAAACAACTTGCCCCAGTCACACAGCTTATAAAGGTGTAAGTGGAGTAAGAGCCAAGCTCTATGCACTGAAAGTTCAAACATTCCTAATTCATGTCACCATATTTCATTGGTGAGATACCTGCAGGTGACTCTGCTAGCATGTTCACAATACATATACCCAGTGGGACACAAACTCTCCTGGCCCAGAACTCCTGTAACCTCCACCAACTCCTCCATTGTGGCTACACAACCTGCTCTTTCCTCCCAGCCTGAGCACAGCTGCAGTCACGTGCTCTGAACGTCTGTGAGCAGATGAACTTCAGGCTCCTGAAGGGCAGGGCAGGCGTTGAATAGTTGTGAAGCCCACTGAGCCCCAAGCGGTGCCTGGTACAGGCCTGGGGCTTAAGAGTGTTTCACACTGCGCTCTTCTCACCAGCCTCTTTCAGAGATCACCATCCCCTATACTAAGCCACAGACCCCTGAGAACTTGGTTCATATAAGCCTGGATGTCTAGAGGAAGAGTGAGAACTCTGGGCTGCTGAGGGAAAGGTTCTGTTAGGGGAAGGGAAGGCACCTCTCACCAAGCCACAACCAAGGGTTGATTTCGCCGTGGCCCTCAGCCTTTGGCATGAGAGACCTCAGCCAATTTCTTGCAGGTCAGGACAGTGACCTCTGAAGTTGTCCACCTCAGAAAACAGACCTTGGGGTCACGATGTCATTCGACACACTACAGACGCTCACCAAGCCCACACTCGATGTGCCACACTCTGCGCTCAACTCCAGGATAAAGTGAGTCGGTGGAGGTGGTGTTTACGCAGGTGTCATTTAGTGAGAACCTGCTATGTGCCAGGCACTTTGTATTATTAGATGGCAATATGGCATGATTTTTTAAGATTTTCCACTACTCAAGTCCTGTGTGAAGTGCTTTAAATATATTAACTAATTCAATCTCTAACACAAACGTATGGAGTCAGGACTATCATTATCCTGTATTACAGATGGGGAATTACCTCAGAGAGGTTGAGGAGCTTTGCTCAAGATCACACAGCCAATCAAGGTGGAACCACTAACCCCTGAACCTATGATTTAACCCCTCAGCAGAGTGTGAAGGGCAAAGCCTTTGGAGCTATACATTCTCTCATTTAACTCGAGTATTCAAGGTTGGTGTTGCTATCCCCATTTCAGAGATGATTAACATGAGGCTCAGCAAGGTTGGTAAAGGCCCTGGTCACACTGGTAGGAAGTAGTGCAGCAGGGTTTGAACCCAGGTCCATCTGACTTGAAAGTTTGTGTGTCTCCTACTTCCAAAGAAAAAGACCTGCCCCTGGTCTTAGAAGCTCTCTGTCTCATGGTCACACCCTGACACCTGGACGCTCCCCACACTAGGCCCCTGTCCAGGCTTCCCCTTGACCGCATGTCAGTCCTCAGCATGGTCCTCAGCTCTAAGATCCCCAGAATTCTGGAACATTCTGCTCCTCACTGTGTGGGGTTTAATTTCTCCATCGCAGTAAATGACAGCACCAGGCATTCACCGCAGGTCGAAAACCTTAGTCACCTTGAGTCTCCCTTTCCCTCATGACACATTGCTGACTACCCAATCCTGTGGGCTCTGCCTTCCCATTGTCCTGAATCCTTCAGCTTCTCACATTCTGTACCACCACCACCGAAACCAAGCCACTCTCACTTCAGCAGAGACCATTCAAGGATCCTTGCTTCCACCCTTGGCCCCCTAAAAGTCCATTTTCCACACAGAAGCCAGAGTGAACTTTAAAATCTCCATCATATCGTGTCACTCTCTCCAACAAGGCAATAGGCATGCCCTCCCCCCACTGTCCCCCCTCACTGTACCCCACCCCCACAGCCTCCTAGATTTTATGGATCCACCTAGCATGTTCCCACTGAAGGAGCCTTGACCTTCCCATTTCCTCTGCAGGGATTCCTTTTCCCCAGATATCCACGAGGCCCTCACCTCACTTCACCTCACCTCACGCAGGCCCCTCAAATGCCACCTCCTCAGAGAGGCCTTCCCTGACAGAGGGAGGGGCAGTACTGCAGTGACCACAGCGCTGTTTTCAGGTCTGTCCCTGACTACCAGTTCCTAGTTGTGGGACTCCGGGCCACTTATTTCAACTCTCTGGTCTTCGTTTTCCTCATTTACAAAATGGTAGTAATAATCGGGTTCCTGTGAGGACTGCATCAGCTAATCCTTGTAAAGGGAGGTATGGTGTCTGGCATGTAACAAGTGCTCAGGACACAGCTGACGTCGTTATATAGAAGAAAAGGCCGAGGATGAGATGGGTAAGAATTCCACCTCCGTCACTATGTAATGAGCCTTGGCCAAATGCCTTTCCCATTTGGGACCTCAGTTTCCCCACTGGTAAAAAGGGGTGAGGGTTCAACCACAGATCCATTTAAGCCATGAGGTTGGTTCTCTGGCACGGTGGCCCTGAGCTCCGTCCACACCCTCATGCGGGGGAAGGCAGGGGCATACCTGGATCTGGCAGAAGCCTCGGGCCGTCAGCTCGTTCAGCACCAGGACCTGGAAGGCCTGCATCAGGCCCGAGTAGTCGGCACTGCACGTCTTACCCGGCGGGAGCAGCAGCTGGAGCTGTGCTCTGGTCTGGACAGTCTGCCACGGCTGGAGCCCTGCAGGCAAGTACCGGAGGTCAGCAGGCAGGAGCCAGAGGCCGGTGGGGTTCTTTTTCCTTTGTTCGGGTTTTCTGCTGCACATATACCCCTTCCTCATTTCACTGAATCACACCAGCCCTGCCATTGTGCACTGTCTCCCTCAGAGTCTGAATACTTCCTAGCATGATAGCTGACCTCTGAAATTACTTAGTATACTCACAGCAAACTCAGCCCTGCCTCAACTTCTAAACCAGGGGTGCCTTGCATTTTGGGGGGACCTGAGCCCCATCTTGCTTGGAAAATCTTCCAAAAGCTTTTCCTCCTCAGAGAAAACCTGCACACAAAAGGTTGCACGCAAACAGGACTGCTACACATGGTCTGCAGGTTAGGAACAGACGCCGTAGTCTACGTGAACGGCATCCCCTGGGCTTGTTCAGTGTACAACCTGGACAACCACACACAGCAGCCTTGCATGCAATTATGGGAGCTCAAGATCCACACTTCCCTTCCCCCAATTCCCTTGCTCCAGATCCAATTGTCACCATCCTGGTCTTGAATGCAGCTTAGGCTGCTCTGTCATAGCTAAGGGTACAGGCCGTCTGTATGTCCAAATCATATTCTGAACTTTTTTCTAGGTTGGGGTCCTCTTATCCCAGAAAGCTTTGCAACAAATCCTGTCCTTTGACACTCTGCCAGCCAGCCAGAGCCCTGTGACAGTCAGCCCCAGGATCTGGGTCTCTTTCCCAGTTGCCCTTCCCACTGCAGTGGTGAGCTGAGTGCTAGGCCCTAGCTGCCCACCCTGCCCTGTCTGGCTGTGAGTACCCACAGCCATGCTTTGCCAGGGCAGACACGGTCAGGGCAGCACAGTCAGGGCAGAGCGAGGGTCACTGTGAGTACAGGAGAAAGCAGCTCAGCATGGAGCACTCTAAGCAGGGTGATACTGAAACGGGGCACAGGTGACTGCAGCCAGAACCAAGCCCCTGCCCGGAGCAGGGCCCAGGACCCCTGCTCTACTAGACATTAACCACGGAGGTCCAGAGCAACACGGGAAAGAAACTGCTGTGTGTCGCAGAGTCACCCTCAGAGGACAGACAAGCCACCCTGAGCCAGCCAACACTGCGGTGGCCAGTACGACTTGAGCGACTACCTGCTGAATGGTGGTCCTGAGTCTAAGACCCCCTAGGACTGCTCAGAATGAAGGCCATTCTCCCAAGGAGCAGATAGCTCCAGAGAAGCCACAAATGAAGCCTCACCCCAGAGGCCTATGGAGCACATCTGCTCCTTCTAGAAGTTGTACCACAAGAGCCCTTCTCTGATCTTTGCGCATGTGGCTGACCCGGCAAATGTTACATTTGGTTCGGGAAAATAGTCCCCAGCCCTCTGGCCTGAGACGGATGGAGGCAGGGAAGTCATCTCCAAGGCCACTTACTCTGGCAGGCCCGGGGCTGGGGTGGCTCTGCCTCCCAGCTTCTGCTCTCCACCCGGCACACCAGGGGCCTCGGCGGGAAGGCGCTCCGGTAGCCCTGGCGGCACCTCAGCAGGCACTGCTGGATGGTGGCGGCTCCCTGGCCCGAGGCCTCCTCACACAGGACTGCTCCACCAACGACATCCGCCACGCTGAACGGCAGTGGGCACTGTGGGTCTGGGAGAAGGAAGGAGGCGCAGCTGTGGGCGTCTGCCCCTCACTTGGGAGGGCTGGGCACTCCCTCCCGCCCCTTCCCCTCTCTGAGGCCCCCGCTCAGCTCCCTGCACCCCTACCTTTGTTTGCCCCTCAGGCTCTGGCCCGGCCTTCTCCACGCCCTCTGCCCTCCCCCTGACAGAGCCCATCCTCTCTCTTTCAACAGACACCAGCTGGGGTGGAGGCCCAGATGTGCAGGGTCCACGGCCCAGGGAGCCCCTCGGGGAGACGGGTCCCCAACTTACTCTCACAGGCGGTCTGGCTCCCGGCCACGCGGGTCCCGGGCACCTCCTCGCCGCTGCCCAGGACACACCAGCAGCTGTCCCCGGCCGGGTCGCACTGCACTGGGGAGAAGCGCCTGTCCCCTGCCCCGCAGGCTGGGATGTAGCCTAGGCCAGCTCTCCTCTCGAGGACTCCGCTCCTGAGCGCCTCGCAGAGGCTCGGACCTGAGCATAGGACAGGTCAGATGGGCGGCTCCGGGCACCCACTCCTGCACAGGCTCCCTTCACCAGCACGGCTGTCCCAGCCCAGGCCGCCACCCACCACCACCCAACGCCACTCACCACCACAGCCCCCATCCACCTCCATCCAAAGCCACTGGCCTGCAGGGCCCTCCAGGGGTCTGGGGCTGCCTCCCTCCCACCGGAGGTTGGACTGCTCATCTCCGTACCCTCCCCCTCACCCACCCTCAAGGAGTTTGGAGTCCTGAAGGCAATGTTAACAAGTAAGCGGGCAATTAAGGCTCAGGGTGATGAGGAGCCCTGGGGGTGCAGTGGTTAAAGCCCTTGTTTCCTAACCAAAATGTTGACAGTTTGAACTCAGCAGCTGCTCTGAGGGAGAAAGATGTGGTAGTCCGCTTTCCTAGAGATTACAGCCTTGGAAACCCTATGGGCGGTTCTACTCTGCCCTATAGAGTCGCTGTGAGTCAGGACTGACTGGGTTTGGTTTTTTTGAGTTTCGGTGATGAGGGTGACAGGGGATGCAGAGGGCGCTTTAGTAGCTGTGGAAGGTGCTGAACTCAGCCACGGGGACAGAGGCCAGCAAAGGATTCCTGGGGGACCGATTTTGGTCTGAGTAAGGATCAGCCAGGTGGGCGAAGGGAAAGGAGATATTGCAGGCAGCAGAACAGAACCACGAAGGCTCAGAGGGAAGAGTGTCCACACGCAAAATACCCTGACTAGTTTGTGACAGAAGCCCTGGTGGCACAGTGGTTAAGTGCTCGGCTGCTAACCAAAAGGTCAGAGGTTCGAACCCACTAGCTGCTCCCCAGGAGAAAGATGTGGCAATCTGCTTCCATGAAGATTACAGCCTTGGGAACCCCATGGGGCAGTTCTACTCTGTCCTATAGGGTCGCTATGAGTCAGAATCGACTTGATGGCAGTAGATACAGAGTTAGGACAGGAGGACTCTGAAGTGTGAGGGACAGAGAAGCCAAGACCTAGACATACCCAGATGTGTGGTGCCTCTGAGCCAAGCCAAAGGCTTGAGCTTGACCCTAAAGAGAGGGGAGCAGCAATGATTTTTTGCAGAGAAGGGACCTCAGCACGTTTGCATTTTCTGGACATCTCCTTGGCTGCACCATGGAAAAGAAATTGCAGGGACCGGGCTGGCCGCAGAGGGGCCAGGTGGGAGCCTGCTGTGGCGTCGGTGCTGTATAGCTGGTCACCCCTGGAAAGTACCACTGCCCACTTCAGTGAGGACCAGTGCTGGGCTGTGCTTTATAGTGACAAGGCACGTGTTTCTCCCGAGAATCTGCGGAGGTGGGTGGATATCACCCCTATTTTATAGGTGAGAAAACAGAGGCTGGCTGCTCACTGGAGAGGGGTGGGGAGTGAAGGGGAGCTCAACGACTCACACTGGGCACTCCTGTCTGTACCCCGGAGCTCCCTGTCTCCCGATGCTGGGTCCACACACCAGGTGCCGGCCTTCGACACCTGCAGCCGGGCATACTCTCCTGTCTGAGACAAAACCAAGGTCACGTCACCGTGGGCCAGATTCTCATGAGGCTGGAAGGCAGGGCAGGGCGGGTGCCAAGAATGTCCCCTCCAAAACAGCTGGTGGTGGCCTCTCCAAATGCGGGATGGTGGCGGCCGAGGAACGACCGATACTAGGGGGGCTGGGCGGGCTGGTCCGTCCCCTTTACCTACATTATTTGAATTGATGGCTACGACAGGAAGCAGGGGCTACAGTTACCCCACCTTAGGGTGGAGGAAGCTGAAGCCCACCCAGAGAGGGAAAGTGACGGAGCCACATCCCACAGCTGGTGGGTGGCTGGGCCAGGCCCAAACCCAGCTGCTCCAAAGCCAAGTGGCCGCGCTCTGCTGAACCAGCCCCACCAAGTCCGGAAAGGATTTTCAGCAAGCAGCCCTAGGAGACTAAGCGTCCGTCACAGGGGATAAAGACAACCACATAAAAGACACCTGCCCAAACCCTGCCAGAAAGGGAAATGAGGTGCTGGTACGTGCTTCATGGGTGAACCTTGAAAACGGGAAGCTGAGTGAAACAAGGCAGTCGCAAAGGGACGAACAGTGCCTGATCCCGCTTCTATGAAATGGGCAGTGGGTAGAGACCAGCGTTTATTAGCGGCTACCAGAGGCCGGCGGGAGAGGGAGACGGGAGTCTTAGCTTAGAGGGCACTGAGTTTCTGTTCACGGTGGTGGAATAACTTGGAAACAGTGGTGATGGTTCACAACAAGACGAAAGTAACCAGTGTCACCATACTGTTCATGTAAAACATGTCAAAGTGGCAAACATTGTGTTATAGATATTTTTACCACAATAAAACAATTTAAAAAAAAAAGACACCTGCCAAACCCAGTGCAGAACCCCATCAGTGTCAGCCCCTCTCTCGGCCTGTCCCAGACCAGCTGGGAACGCTGCCCAAGTCACTGCAAGGACTAGATCAAGTCGTGGGCATGCTCCTTCCAGGAGCGCCTTTGGGTAGGAAAGGTCCTCCCTCCTGGGTCTGTAACAGAAAACCGCGCCCCCTGCAGGCACGCTGCAGAAGTGCAGCTCTCCGCCCAACGGACCGGCTACTGCTGAGCGTTTTCTTTAAGATGCGTTTGCCACTTGTTTATTTTATAACAGACAATGGCAATAAAGACATCCACATTCACAGAGAAGGAAAACATGAGGCTGCCCCCCATGCAAGCATGTCCCTTCATCGCATCATTCAACCCACAGCATCCCCGGGAGGAGGGACCCCGCAGTCCCCATTTGACACAGCGAGGTCCCAAGTGAGCAGTGATATATGCCTCTGGTTACACAGCTCGCAGACTACAGAGGCAAGAGTCAAACCCAAAGAAAGATCTGAGAACACTTTATGGGACAAAATTGAGAAAATTGAAGCTATCAACTTTTCTTGGAGTCTTGGGCCCAAGACATAAAGGTTAGGGCAGTCCTGTTCCCAGGCACCTGGGGTGCTCCAGGGAGCCGGCTTAAGAACCACACAGCTGGGGGTCTCGGGGCCTGCTCTGTAACCCCTGTCCGGCCTCAGCTTTCCTTCCCGCCTCTCCCTCTCTGTGAGCATCAGAATCCGGGACATCGAAGCATACTTCTACTCCAACAGTAACAGAAGTGGTTGTCAGCCAAGTTATAAGACTAAATAGGCTAATTTTTCTATAAAACTCCTCGGTCACTGGGGTCCATGTTCACAGCAGCAATCAGTCATGATGAGGAGTAGGTAACTTTGCTCAATGCTTCGCAGGTTCACAGACGTCTACATCAATAGGCTCCTCTGGTTCCCTACCACACCTCCCTGATCACTGTTTTATTGTAAAACACATGTCACATCAAATTTGCCATCTGAGTTGAGAAGGGAGAGGGTTGACATGTCGTGGGGTTGTTAACCAATGTCATAAAACAATATGTGTACTACTGTTTCATGAGAATCTATTTGTTCTGTAAACCTTCACCTGAAGTACAATAAAAATTTTTTTTTAAAAATTGCCATTTGAATCATTTTTAAGTGAACAATTCAGTGGCATTAATTATACTCACAACCATCACCACTCTTGATTTCCAAAACGTTTTCATCACCCCAAACACAAACTCTGCACCCATTAAGGAATAACTAACTCCGCCTCCCCCCCAGCCCATGAAAACCATTTATCAACTTGCCGTTTCCATATTTTTGCCTATTCTAGATATTTCATATAAGTAGGATCATGTAGTATTTGTCTTTTTGGGTCTGACTTCCTTCACTTAACACGATATTTTCAAGGTCACCCATATTATAGTGCGCATCAGAACTCTGTTTCTTTTTATGGCTGAATAATAGATTCCATCTGATTCTCACAAAGCCCCTGGGCACTGAGCAGAGCAGGTTGTGGTGGTCCTGACATCTCTATTTTAGGGAGAAGAAGCTGCCGCACACAGACTCCCGTCACTTGACAAGTAAGTAGTTAAGATTCTGGGCACGAATCCTTTCTTTGAGAGCTTTTATATCAGTTAACTTCACTTAATTATTACAATCATTCTGGGAGCTGGGGAGGGCAATATTATGATGTCCTCCATTTTATATTGAGAAACCGAGACACGGTAAACTAAGCGATTTGACCAAGTTGGCGTAAGGAAAAACATGGTAGCAACTGTCTCTGTGAAGATTATTTTTCCCAAAGAGTTTTTATGAAAGATTCTTCCTTGGAGTCTCCAAACAATCCTATCACTAGATAAGACAAAAATGTGGCCCTGATCTTATGATTAAAAAAAAAAATTGGAGCACAGAGAAGGTAAATAAATTGCCCAAGGTCCCACAGACAGGGTCTACCAGAGCCAGGACAAAATCTAGGCCTAGAATTCCGTGTACGTTTTTAACTAAGCCAGCTTCATTGAAAACTGGACAAACCACCTCCATTCAGTAGTGGAAAGCTCTGGTTTCCCTCTCCTCGTCCTTCCTGGGCCCTCAGAGCCTTACCTGTAGGCAGGTGGGGATGAACAGGTCTTTTGGAGAAGGGTTTCCTTGAGACACAGCCTGTTTCCAACTGGAAATCAGCCCACTGGCTCGAGATTCCTCACAGGTCGTGGGGCCTGTGGAAGAGAGGGAGGCACCCTTACCTGACGGGCATGGGCGCCAAGGGAAGGCCGGCTCCCTGGCTGAGCCCGAGCCTCAGTGTGTCTGGGTGAGGCAGTGCCTTTCACAGAGAGCCTCGACCTCAGAGGAGAAGAGGCTGAGGCTGAGGACAAAGACACATGCGGGACCCGCCAGCTTTGAGATGTCAAGTGGGTGGTTGATTATACAGGTCTCGGCCTCAGGAGAGAGGTCAGAGCTGGGGATGCAGCTGTGAGAAGGTTGTTGAAACTGCAGGAGTGGGAGTGGACGAGATCTCCCAGGGAGCAGGGGACAGGAAGGCACTGGGTTCCCCCACCCGCAGCTGCTTTTCCCCACCTATGTAGCTGGGAGCACAAATTAGGAAGTGCCAAGGTCAGCAGGAGTCTTCTAGGCCTAGGGGCTTGGGACAATGTGTTCTGGCTGCCCCTGGGGCTGGTCTGAAGGGCTGGCCACAGGGTGGCCCGTGTTAGGAGGTTAGGTAGCTAGGTAGCAAGTGCGGCTAGGCCAGCCTAGAGCAGGCGAGAGGGTCCCGGGGGCTCCACTTACATTGGGGGGTCTGTGGGGACCGGGCAGCCAGCGAGGCAGGGATGTACTCTCCCTTCCCGTCCACGCACCAGCAGTGCCCTAGAGAAGACAGAACTTCAGGAAGCACGTTGGCGACTCGCTCCTGGAGCATCCCAAAAATGACTTTCCCTCCTCACCTCAGAGCAGGGCCAGCAAGGGCGCCCCCCACCCCCTGCCCAACATTGTCCACAGTCACAGCTCATAGCACTCGGGCACCCCACTTCTGGCTGGTAGGTCACTGCTCAGGTGAAGCAATTGACGGCCTTGACCTTTGCCACCACGCGCCAGAGTCATGCTCACTTGCCTCCATGGGGGGGATCTTGGCTCTGAGTAAGAAGGAGGGTGCATGACGCTGCCTCCCTGGGGCACCCAGCCCACCCTCACCAGTCCTGTTGTAGCACTGCACGGGCGCCCAGCTCCCAAATGCGTCACACTGCGGCACGTAGGGGCCATTGCTCAGGAGGGCAGCTGCTCCTGCTGAGTCGCCCAGGGAAGAGCCTCGTCTCTGATAGAAGGTAAAGGCTGGAGCAGGGGAGAGGAGAGCAGAGACGTGAGTGCCAACCTGGGCTCGCCTCAGCTCCAGGGGACAGCAGAGCACGCCCCAGGTACAACATAGGAGGCCTTCTGAGTTATTAGACAAACACGTCCACCCAAAACGTTACAGAGGCTCCTACAGAGTGGGCTATACCAGGGTGGACACGCAATAGATTTTCCCTTTAAAAACAAACATTTAGGCTAAACATTGAAGGAATCTCTGTAGGCTTCTTTCCGTATCTCCCATGTAGTCTTGATCAGGCCAGCGAAGTGGCTTCAGGCACCTGCAGGAATAGTAATAATTGTTGTGTGCAGTGGAGTCGATTCCGACGCCCAGCGACCAATGTGTCAGAGTAGAATCGCCCGTGGGGTTTTTTTGTCTAACATTTATCAGAGCAGATCGCCAAGTCTTTTCCCCAAGGAGCCGCTGGCCGGATTCAAATTGCCAACCTTTTGGTTAGCAGCCAAACTCTTCAACTGTTTGCACCACCAGGGCTCCTTATAGACTTGGGGACACATTTTCCAAGAAGCAAGGTACACACAGGCTTAATTGTGCTTGCTTACTAATCTGTAGTGCACAATGTCACCTGGTTGTCACCACATTTCCCCACACTCACGCCTAGCAGAGATGTCCATTTACTCCCATGCCCCTGCCCCGTTCTCATGAGGCTCCCAGACATTGCTCCAATGCTCCATTGGCTGAAGACTCCTGGTGGCCTTCAGTCTCTCCTTGTCCTGCACCCTCAGGCCTAGACTCCCTGAGACCCAGAGGTCCACAGTGCACAGCCTCCTCTCCTCTGAATCACAAGGAATGAGGGATTCTGGGAAAACGAACAACTCAGGCTCTGCTCTCCTGGTTCTTCCTCTTTTCTCTACAGCCTCAGACATGCAAAATGAGAGCTTGTGACTAGTTGCGGGACATTTCCTTAGCTTGACTTCTAAAGAAAAGCCATCAAGCCACTCAATAATAAATCTCTACGGCATCGACAACTTCCTCTTCCTTCATTTCAGATGTCCCTCCATCACCAAAGTGGTCACAACTGAAGGGCCATCAATCCACTTCTCCCTTTCATGACATCAAACCCTGCCCATGCACAAAATTTAGAACAACTGGTTTCTTACCAAAAGCAGAAGTCCCCAGGTCACTGAGGAACAGAGAAAGGAGGTTCCTGTGCACGAGGTGAGAGCAAGGGATAGAGGGAAAGAAAGTGGAGGAAGGAAGCAACATGGATGGATTAACCAACACTAGCTGGGCTACACTCTGAGTCCCAACACTCTCTCTCAGCTTGTCCTACTGTGGTGGCTTGCATGTTGCTGTGATGTTAGAAACTATGCCACCGGTATTTCAAATACCAGCAGGGTCACCCACAGTAGATGGGTTTCAGCAGAGCTTCCAGACTAAGACAGGCTGGGAAGAAAGGCCTGGAGTTGTACTTCCAAAATAGCTGTTGAAAACCTTATGGATCACAACAGAACACTTCCTGACTCAGTTGCTTTGGACATGTCATCAGGAAGGATCAATCACTGGAGGAGGACATCATGTCTGGTGAAGCAGAGGGCCCGCGAGGGTGAGGGAGACCCTTGGTGAGATGAATTGGCACAATAGCCACAATGATGGACTCAAACATGCTGGTGGTGGTGAGGATGACACAGGACGGGGCAACGTTTCATGCTGTTGTACGTAAGGTTGCACCGAGTCAACATCTACTCTACGGCAGCGATCTATCTCTTTATCTACACTGCCAGGAACTTACCAGACAGTGGGGACATAAAGATGAATAAGACATGGTTCTTTGTCCTCCCAAAGAGATGTCCAGTGAGGGAGAGAAGCAGAAAACAAATATGGCCCTTGGGAGTTTCTCACATGGGGTCAGGAGAACGAAGAGAATGGAACCCCATCCAAGCCAGTGCAGACACCCCGGGAATGGCAGAGCAGGGAGCTTGGAGTGGATCTTCTTTGACATGGTACAGAAGTTTTCAGGTGGAGCTGTTTTGTGACCAGAGCCAGAGAATTCCAGACAGGGCGTCCCCATGGCAATTCAACAGTGGGTGGAAACTCGGGTATGGCTCAGAGATAGGTGATCACTTGCTCCTGCCAAGTGGGTATGGGGTCAGTGATGGGGCCCTGGACACTCCCACCAGAGCAGGTGTGGCCAGTGGAGGAAGAGCAGGGGCTGTGGGTTGAGACAGACGGGGGCTGTGGGTTGAGACAGACGGAGGCTCTGAGTGGTCTGACCTCAGCCACATCCAGTCCGGTAGAGGAACAGAGTGGCTAAGAGCGTGGGCTGGAGGGTTGGGGGCCAAAAACTGAGGGAGTTAACATCCAGGCTCCACTAGTTACTAACTGGGTGACCTTGGGCAAGTCACGTACCCTCAGGCCCAGTTTCCCCATTTGTGTGTAATCACAGATGGTGACTGAAGCATAGTTCTCATGCAACTGTTCAGGACTAAATGCAAGGATCTGGTAAACTACTTAGCACAGTAACGGCCTGGCCAAGGGAAATTTTCAAGTACTGTTGAGCTATTTTTACAGGTTCGAGATCTGTGGGTTCTCTGAGGTTATTCCTTTGTCGTATGAAGGAGATAATCCCTGCCATTTAGAGTTACTCTCAGAATGAGATGAGACACACGTATAAGGTGCCTGAAACCCAATAAAAACCAGCTGTAGTCAAGTCAATTCCAAACCATGGCGCCCCAGTGATGTGTCAGAGTAGAACCGTGCTCCATAGGGTTTTTAATGGCTGATTTTTTGGAAGTAGACCATCAGGTCTTTCTTCTGAGGCACCTGAGTGAAGGCGAACCTCCAACTTTTCAGTGAGCAGCCAAGCATGGGCCACCCAGGGGCTCCAACAGCTCCTCAATCACTGAGGGCTTTTCTTCATCCTCTTTCATGGGTGTCCCTGAATCCTTGGAAACAGAGGAAGGTTTTGAGCCAGGTCATGAGGGTGTATGAGCATTTGGGGCCGAGATCCCTCATATTTTAACAAGAACGTTTGGCTTCACGGTGGGCTGCAGGCATCATCTATCTGCGATACGAACATGAAGCCCTGCCTTCATGCAGCTCTGCTGGAGGATTTGGGAGCCTCGTGGGAAGGTGTACCCCCTGCACAGGAGGCAACCATGGACTGCACTCCAGCTTTGACTGGCATCTCAAGACTTATCCACCTGGAGAAACCAAGGAGACTAATCCAAGCTTTTGCTTCCCCAAACACAGCAGAACAAGACCCTGAAATATAGTACTCACTGGACTGGGCTGCCAAGCGAAGAGCATAATCACTCCCCATCAGGAACTTCTCAGAGAATGTCTCCCAGGGTGAGAAGGGCCAGGGAAGGGAGAGCTCCTTATTGCTCAGCCGGATTCCCTTGGCGACTAGGAAGCTCTCTCCCAGAGGGAACTGAGAACTGTTGGAAACCAAGACGATTTCTTCTGCTTCCTTAATGAACTGCAGGACACGAAGCTTCGCTTCCTCACAGGAGCCAGGGCCTAAGGGAATAAACACATCACAGATGGATTTGCTCACCAGGGATGGCTCCCCCAGCCCCCTTTCAAGTGCATGTGCCCCCGCAACTATGAGACAATAGGTTCTGCTCTTTAAAGTAACCCACTGTGGGGTTTTTTGTTATGGCACTCCTTGACTAAGACAGCTGTCACCCCGGAATGTATACATGTAGGCAGTTACTGGTCACATCCATCACTTACTATCAATCACATTAATCCCTGTTGCCACTGAGTCAATTCCACCTCATAACGACCCTATAGGACAGAGCAGAGCTGCCCCATAGGGTTTCCAAGGCTGTAATCTTTACGGGAGCAGACTGCCACATCTTTCTCCCATGGATTCAAACTGCTGACCTTTCAGTTAGCAGCCAAGCACTTTAACCACTGTGCTACCAGTGGTCATATTAATCCAGCTGTCACTTATTAAGCACTTTCTACATACCAAGCCTGACACATTGCATCTATCACCCTTTATAACCCTCACGACGTTCCTTTGAGGTAGTCACTATAACTAAGATGCAGAGATTTACCCTCATCTAGCCCACACAGTAGCAGGGGTAGAACCAGGATTCAAGCCAGCTAGCGCTCTGTCCTCTAAGCCACTGCTTCTCAAACTGTAGGGTGCCCCAGGATCACCAGGAGATCCTGTGGAAATGCAGATTCTGATTCAGTACTTCGGGCCCGAGAGTCTGAATCTCTAACAAGCTCCCAGATGATGCTGGTGCTGCTAGGCCACGCTTCGAGTATCGAGGCTCTGAACCAATGGTCCCCAAACCCTTTTGGTCGGATACCCCTGTCCACAAAAGGCTTTGAATACGCAACCCGAAAGTACGTGTATTTCTCTGTTTATGCTCGTGCTGCAGCGGAAATAGACTAGGTTCAAAGGAAGAGATAAAACACTAGACACAGATAGAAGATCTAACATTTGCTCCCCTGTGGATGATTTTGTACACCCTGGTCACCGACTCCACACGGTCGTTTGTTACTCATGGGAAAGTCAACATACTCTGAAGCCTGCTTCTAATGCTCCGCCTGGCATTCAGGCCAAGGTCACTAAGACTAGTCAATGAAGTGACTAAGTCCTTTTGGTATTACCAACCAGGCTTCTCAGATTGCATACACCGGATAGCTAATAAAAATTTGAATAATTGAATAATTTGAATAATTACAGGAAAATTTTAGGATGAACCACATTAAATTTGCCATCACTTTGTAGACCTGGGGAAGTCACTTACCCTCTATAAGCCTCAGTTTACTCGCCCAGATAATGAAGGGATGCACCTGGCCATCCCTAAACTCAGTGCTAGCTTTGACACTCCATACCCTTTATTCGTTAAAGAAACAATTCTGTTCTGCACATAAGTTTACTCACATGCTGGAACCTTGCTTGGCTCAGCCCAAGTGCCTTCCAGTTCCTGACCAGCCCTGTCCACACACCAGCAGCTTCGAAGATCAAAGTGTGCCAAAGGAGTGCTGAAATCTGAGTAGGGCCCTGGGTACCGGCTGAGCTGCCCATTTAGCATCTGCCAAAACAGGTAGGGCTCCAGGAGGATGTTCCCTGCAGGCTGTGTCAGGTTGCCTTCCAGCACTACTGGTGGGACGTCTTGGAAAGCAGAGTATCTCGCCAGCCCTGGGAAGACACCTTGTTGGCCAGCCTCATACAGACTTTGGATAAAGAGGCGGAAGCTTTTGGAAGCCACTTCTCTATAGCTCATGATCCTCTTTAGAAGCTCAGCAGGGGTCAGTTCCTGGCCACTCTTATTCTGAGTTACCCATCGTTGGTACCACTCAAAGGCCTGCTCCGGGGGCCCATCACATTGTACGCGTCTCCACTGGCCATCAGCACTGCACTGTGGAATGTAGACGCTGGAGAGAGTGGGCGGCAAGCTGGAATTGGAGAGCAGGGCCTGCACCGTCCCCAGGAAAGCTTGCTCTGCCTGCAGCTGACAGGGCGTGGGGCCTGGAAGAAACGACGAGGAGGTGTGTCAGTTTAGCCAGTTTAAAAGCCATTGCGATTGAGCCCATTCCAGCTCATCGCAACCCTGCAGGACCGAGTAGAACTGCCCCAAAGTTGTATTCTTTACAGACTCATAATGACCCTATAGGACAGAGTACAACTTCCTCATAGGGTTTCTAAAGCTTTAATCTTTACAAACTCATAGCGACACTATAGGACAGAGTAGAACTGCCCTGTAGGGTTTCCAAGGCTGTAATCTTTACGGAAGCAGACTGCCACATCTTTCTCCCGTGGAGCAGCTGGTGGGTTCGAACCATTGGCCTTTCAGTTAGCAGCCAAGAGTTTAACCACTGTGCCACCAGGACTCTCTTTAAGCAGTTTTGTAACCCCAAAAGACCAAGATGGAACCATGTAACTGTCCAAACTCCATCTAAAACTTCACCCAGGCATAGAGACCCCACCAACCTTAAATCTGCAAATCACATCTAGACAGAGAGCACCCCGCCACTAACTCAGCACCACTGAGAGCAGCTAGTGTCAGACTGCACAAGTGGAGGTGGCAGGTCCTGAAGGCCAAACAAATCTCCCTATCACTCATTAGAATGGTCAACAGTAGCCAGACATTTTTGGATATTGTTTAAATTAATCAGCTGATTTTGCCATTAACTGAAGCTTAGGCTTTAGCCATGAGTGGATTCTTTCTTCTGTAATGCATTGTATCAGGGACTGAAGAGGGAATGGAAAGTCTATAGATTGAACAGAGTCCCTGGGTGGCACAAACGGTTAAGCGTTAAACTATTAGCTGAAAGGTGGGTTGTTCAAACCCACCTAGAAGGCACCTCAGAAGCCAGGCCTGACAATCTTCTTCCAAAAGGTCACAACCTTGGAAACCCTAAGGAGTAATTCTACTCTGCACACGTGGGGTCGCTGTGAGTTGGAATCAACTCAACAGCAACTAACAACAACATAGACTGAGTACTCAACGGACTTACATTGCTTGGGTTCTCCAGTTATACTTTGAGTTCCAGGGATCGCCTGACCCTCGGTGTCCACACAGTAGCACTCTGAGTTAGAGCATTGGACAGGTAGGAAATGTCCCTCGCTGGTACAAGAAGGGACAGATAGGCTGGACCCAGCAGGCTGGCTACCCATGAGGTTTTGCATTTGTGCCCTTTGCTTTTCACACTCTGTGGGGCACCTGGGTCGTCTACCTCTAACTCTAGAGCCAAGAAGTTCTTTGCCCCGGGAATCCACACACCAACACTCCCCAGCAGAGCACTGGACATCCTCGTAGTTTCCTTCTGCCGTGCATGATGGGACAAAAAGCTTTGTGGATGGTGGCTCACAGGTCTGGGAGTTGAGCACCATTTCCATTGTGTCCCCTAAATCTCGGGCTACATCCTCTGGCACGGAAATAGCATGCTGCAAGAAGACAAGGAATTCTGGAAGCTCCAGGAGAGAAGCAAGGAATTTCAGAGCATTTTGGTTCTCCCGTAAGTTAATTTCGAAGCCAAAGCTGCCCACAAGGGGGAGATTCATAGCCTTCTCAGAGGCTTCAGGGGTTCCCGTGGCAAGGTTTGCATCAGGTCTCACAGACAGCTGCTTGGCTACATCCACGAATCCTTCTCCATTCTTGAAGCCTGGGAGGCCAAGTTGCTGGAAAAATTGACTGAAGTTAAATGTGCCTCTTGTGCCAATGGCTCCCGACACGTTAAACTGGCCAACGTTCGCCAAAAAATTTCCTCCAAATAGGTTTTGCTGGAGTCGCTTGGGGTCAGCGGTAAACTGAAGGGCAAGGCGAGCCAGCTCTCTGGAGGGGAAAATCGATCTGATGGCCTCTTTGAGAAGACTTTGTGAGGCGGGGAACTGTTTATCTTGCCCTTCCACCATGGGGCGGAGAAGGCCAGAGTCAACAAACAGCTCCCTGAACAGGGGTGGGCAGGATGAGGAGAATCTGGCCACTCTCTGAGAGGCCTGCCTTTCCTCAGGAGAAAAAAACAAATTGTGCTGGCTGAAGTGGCCCGAGGGCCCAAAGTAGAGTCTTGACAAGGCCTGCTGTCTTTCTGAGGTGCAGGATCGGTCTTCAGCTGCGCCGAGACAGAGCAAATGGGAGAAATGGTTTTAACATCACAAGCAAACATGAGACAACCCCCCAGATCTTTCTTGTAGCAAGATGCCAAGAGTCCACCGAGAACACCTACACTTTGTACCTCTCTTCTTTCTTTTTCCTTTTTCCTTTCCCTCTGAGCTACACCTGTGACAGCTGGTTTGGGGAGTAAGTCTTCCAGCTGGCGTGACTACCTCTCTTCACTTCCACTAGAGGTTGGCTCCCTTCTAAATCAAGGATCATAGACACTGAAAGCTTCCCTACTTTCTGAAAATCTGACCATACAAAAAAAAAAAAAAAAAAAAAACAATTGCCAACTCATGGCAACCCCATGTGTGTCAGAGTAGAACTGTGCTCCATAGGGTTTTCAATGGCTGTGATCTTTTGGAAGTAGATCACCAGGCCTTTCTTCCAAGGTACCTCGAACCACCAACCTTTCAGCTAGCAGCAGAGCACTTCACCATTTGCGCCACCCAGGAACCACATTCACCAACAAATTCCTAGTTGTAGTTAGTGAAATGTTGTTTTCTAGCATTCTCTTCTTGGAAATCTTAATGCGTTTTAAAGCTTAACCATACGCTCTTTTGTGTGACTCCCTAATTCCTCCTTGTACGGTAGTTTCGAGTGGATTAACTTTGTTGTTGTTTTGTGCTGTTGAGTCAATTCTGACTCCTAACAACCCTAAAGGACCAAGTAGAACTGCCCTGTAAGGTTTCCTAGGCTGTAATCTTCAAAGGAGCAGATTGCCAGGTCTTTTCTCCCACAGAGCAGCTAGTGGATTTGAATCACTAACTATGAGTTAGCAGCCAAGTGCTTAATCATTGTGCCACCATGGCTCTTTGTAGACTAACTAGTTTATAGTTAGTCTAGAGGTTTTTGAGGACAATAACCATACTTTAAATACTATTGGTATTTCCCATACGAATCAATAATGCCCACATAGCAAACATCATTCTTCTGGGCTTCTTGACCTTTCCTTGAAATTACTAGTTAAACAGTGATCAACTCAGCAAGTCCATGCAGTCACACCATGCTAACTGAAAATTCTAAATAATCACCATGAAGATTTTAATACTAAAATCCAAACACCAAGTAGCTGTCTCAGTCTCTTAGGTGGAAGTAAGTGAGGTCCAATTTTCTCCATTAAGTTGCAAATCTTAGGGAAACTTTTCAACCAGCCTTCCCCTATACTTTTTAAATAATTCTTTCCTCTCTGTTCATGTGGATGCCAAGAAGGGAGTCAGCCAGTTTCCCTCTGTAACCAGGCAACAGAGAAAGAACTGGAACATGTGGTCGGGGTGGAGGGAGGAAGACTGGCAACGTCAGAACACATAACACATCCCTCAGCAAGGCCGTGGATTCCTTTATTGGACATTATAGGAAGGTATGGAAGAAATAAAGTTCACTGCCTTGCTCATTCCCTTTCCAAATTAAGAGTGTATCCTTCCATCCATTTGTTATGTGGCGTTACAAAGACAAAGGAATTCAGATATTGCTTCCATGTGACATGTGTATTCACTGAAGTAGGACTGACACTACCAGAGACAAAAATATACGATCCCTGCATTTGGAAGAGCTATTGTTTTTAATTTGGAAAAGCATAGCTCTTCATTTCTATCTAGAAATTGGAAGACAAATATTCTGTAGGTTTTAACAGAATTGAAACTATCCTATTAAATTTCCAAGATGATTATAAACACTCTGAAGGCAGGATCTCAGCATTTTCTTTGTCTGCTTCCTAACACTTAGCAGATTGAATACTTCCAAACACTGTGCAAAATATTCAAAAGGTCAAGCTGGAGAAATTGAGTGATTCGACAAGAATCATTGAGTGAACATTCATACATATCTGTTTTGGCACTATAAAAAGACATGCACTTCTTCACTGTTTCAAATCTTGCTGATTACACCCAGGTCAACCAAGTTGGCAGCCTGTGACTGCTTCGAGATTCCTGCTTCATCACTGACATCCTCCAGAATCTCACTGGCAGAATGGAATGGAGTCTCACCCCCTTCTCCCTGACTCACTGCTTCTACTTTAGTATGGTTCCCATCATCTGTCTTCCAGACACTGCAGTGACGTTCTAACTGGTCCCATTTCCCCCAGACTAATGCTCCTTTGAATTATGGTGTTGGCAAAGAATATTGAATATACCATGGACTGCCGGAAGAATGAACAAATCTGTCTAAGAAGAAGTACAGCCAGAATGCTCCTTAGAAGCAAGGATGGAGAGACTTCATCTTGCTTACATGTTATCAGGGGGAACCAGTCCCTGGCGAAGGACATCATGCTTGGTAAAGCAGAGGGTCAGCAAAAAAGAGAAAGATCCTCAAAGAGATGGATTGACACAGTGGCTGCAACAAATGGGCTCAAACAGCAATGATTGTGAGGATGGCAGAGGACCTGGCAGTGTTTCATTCAGTTGTACATAGGGTCACTGTGAGTCGGAACTGACTTGATGGCACCTAACAACAACAACAACATTGCTCCTTTCAATCTCTCCTCCAACATTCTGAGGTGATCTTTCTTACACACAAAACCCATCATGGCACTCTCCTGCTTAACCTCTCAACATCCACGCCTGATCTCCAGGATGAAGCCCCCAAGCCTTTGTTATGATATGCAAGATCTCATTGTCTCACTCCTACCTTTCCCCTCAGTCATAATTTCCACAGCACAATCCTGATCATACTCCAGCAACTTTTTTTTCCTTTCCTATCCTTGTTGCAGATCAGAGTGACCATTAACACACCGACGAGTATAATTTGTCTTTATAATTTGTTTGTCCTGCTCTAGAGGGAACATTTTTTCTTACCTTCCTCCTTCAACAAACATCTTATTTTAGATGGCTCTGGTCTAGTGTCCGCTCTTCCATGAAGCCTTCCTAAATGCCTCTTCCTCACACAGGCTGTAGGATAGAATGAACCCCTCCTTGCTTTACTTGCCTGTACCCCCTTTTCTCATAGCTGCAAACTTCCATTCTCTTTTCTTTTTCTTCACCTCCCTGCAGTATTCTGAGCTCCTGAAGAGGCAACTATGTCTGACACAGGACGAGAAACATGTTGGAAGTGAATGATGATCAACTGGGGTTCAATCATGTTGAGCTGAAGGCCTGTGGTACACACTCAGGGGGCAGTTGAGTTAATGGGTTAGGAGTTCTGGAGAAGTTGGTCTGGAGAAACAGTTAAGGTAACATGACCTGACAAGACCCAAGAGGAAGTGCTTGAGAGGAACCCACCACAAGATGGCAGCCCCCCTTGCTGCCGCGTCCCTTGGATCTCCTTTCCTCGGGCGTCCACACACCAGCATGGCCCTTCTCTCTGGCACTGCACTGGCTGGTAGTCCCCATTTCGGCTGCAGGTCGGAACATAGGGGTGGCCAAAGCTGGTTGCTGTAAACTGCTCCACTTCACATTTTGTGGGGCCTACGATAAATCCAGGCAGTCAAGAAGACAGTGAGTAAACAACGCTTGATGAGTTTACAGCATGTGTTGCTGTTTGCTGTTAACATTCTTCAAAATCCCTTTGCTTTCGTTGGGACAGCCACAGAGGCTGTGGTGACTTTAAGACCCAAGTGGTTTCCTTCTAGCAGAAACAAGCACATCTGCCATCGGCTTCCTACTTACATCGGAATCTGCCAGAGATGACTAATTGGACGGCTAGGAACCGTCTCTGCAATATCCGGTACAGGGTGGTTTCAGAGAAGGTGGAAGCAAGGTCCAGACCCGCAAAAATGGTGTCGTAAATCTCATCCAGTAACAGCTCCAAACCTGAGCAAACACAGCAGGTGTTTCAAGGGGTGGGTTCATTCTGAAAAGGAAGTCCTGACTTTGCTAGGCAAAAAGCTAGTACAAGGGACAGAGCTGTCACCGGCATCATTGTGCAGCGTGTCTTAATACTTCAATTGTTTCCAAAGTCAGGGCTGCTTGGTACGACTGGGCAGGTTGTTCACAGCTCAAAGGAGCACTTCTGAGAGGGTGAAATCAAAAACCAAAGCCAAAACCCATTGCCGTCAAGTCGATTCCGACTCAGCTCTGTAGGACAGAGTAGAACTGCCCCATAGGGTTTCCAAGGAGCACCTGGTGGACTCAAACTGCTGACCTTTTGGTTAGAAGCTGTAGCTCTTAACCACTATGCCATCAGGGTTTCCATGAGAGAGTGAGAGGAGGTTGAAATCCATCCTGTGCTCCACTCACCAAGCTATGCAACCTAGCTCAGAGCTGCATCTGCCCAGAAAGGGGAGCCATTTTCCCCAGTGCACAAAGGCACCATATGGGCTGGCAGCAATTGCCTTCAAAGTTTCACAGATGGAAGCTTGCTAAGGCCATGTCTGACATGGGAGCCTGACAGGGAGCAGGCTGACATCGCTAGTTCTGCTTTAGGGGTAGTGAGATTGAGACTTTCACTCCCAGTGAACCCCACTCCCGCCCAGATGACCTCAGCTGCACTTACCCGTCTCAGCCAGTTCCCGCCCTTGACTATCGGCACAGTGACAATACCCAGACACCTTGGGGAACCTGCTCTGAAAGGTCCTGAAGGTCATGAATGCGTCTGGAAACCTAAGAGAGAATTCGATTATGGTCACCGCTTCACCACAGGCAAGTTGCCACAGCTCTTCCTGTAGAAATAAATAAATGCAGCCAAGTCCCCATCTGGGGAGAGGAATGTCTGCTTTTGTGTCTCATTCCATTTGCTCTATGCTTCCTACAGTAAATGAATTTCTTTTCTAAATTGGTTTTAGCTGGCCAGAGCTAGGCTGGTCCTTATAAAAATAAGGCTGTGCTTAGCTGCCACCTCCTAATTAGCTGTTTCCCTCACCTGGGGTATGTGAACAATTTATGCCCATGTGTGTGTCTCAGGATCAGGCTGAAACAGACAATAATAAACTCCCTACTAACTGGCTCCTTTACTAGAACATAACTCTAGAGACTAAAGGCCAAGTTTGCTTTACAAACATATGGTACATCGTATATGATCTCATTTGGGGAGATCAAATGACTTCAAGGCCCTGTAAAACTTTTCAAGAGCTTGAAAGGAAGCCAGATTCTACCCTAGGAAATCCTTAGGACAGAAGGACACTTCACAGTTCCACAGCTGAAAAAGCACACATTCTCTACAACTTCACAGATAAGGACTATGCCTTCCTTTCCATACACTGAGGGAAAGTATGTCTCATCCTGGCTGACGTGGCAATTGCTATAGGAGCTAATTGGCTGGGCTCCCCATCTTGGAAGTAATAGGAAGCTAAGGGGACATAAAGCTGTAGTGAGGAGTTCTTCCCACTTGCGGTGACGCAAGAAGCAGAGAGAAATTTTTCATCGGTATACACCACGGAGAAATTTGTTTTCGTGCTCTATACAGCTGCTCCGTGAGTTCCAAGCAGAATGTATTTCCACCTTTGTCCGGAGATACAGCCCCAAACAGTAAGTCAGCAGAAGCAGCAGAGAACTGCACAAACAGGCCTGTTGTCGTACAGTCTCTTCTAGTAAAATACTGAAAACAACCTTAGTGTCAATGACGGGAATATTAAAAAGAAAATTGTAGTAAAGCCTCTTTAATGTAATACTTATAAAACTCTGGCCAAAAAAGAATATGCGTAACATTTATATAATACGAAATGGCATGAACACGTACTGCAATGGCTACTATGTAAATGAGCCCGTCTCTGAAGGCAATACCCCTAATAACTCCAGAGCCTGAGCAGGGCCGTGTAGTAAGTATTGCTTAATTTGAATGGAATGAATATGCAAGACAAAGCTATGAAAACACCATAGGATTAGGACTAAGTGGGGTTTTTTGCAAGTCTTGGTCTATTATTGGGTGTACGTGTGTTAAATTAAAAAAATGTTACAGCAAGTGAGTTCTATAATAGAAACTAAAAATTCACTTCACCTAGTTGCTGCTAATAGCGTGCGGTGCAATGGATGGCTTTTATAGGGCTTTTCTCCCACCAAATGACTGGGTGGGTTATGCAAATAAAGAGCTTGGACAGCTTGCTAATAATGCAAATAAGGTACCTGGCTCTCTTGTGGGGGTGGGGCCATGCAAATAAGGTATATGGAACCCTAATGAGGGGATTGGTCAGTTTTGCTATCCTGCTAGGCTTAAAATGAGCCATCCCAGAAGCGGAAAGGGGGGCCTCACTACCACCAAGAAGAGTCAGGAATGGAGAGCTTCCTTTGGACCCATGGTCCCTGCACCGAGAACCTCCTAGACCCAGGAGACAGAGAGAGCTCTAACACCGGAGATAGTGCTAGATGGCAAGAAGCAGTGGCAGAGAAATGGCAGGAGAACCAGAAGACCAGCAAAAGACAGTGCAGTGGGCTTCCTGACCCACGGAGCAAGGTGGGCTTCCCAGCCACAGAGCAAGGAAGCTACAGTAGGGGAGCCGACACATGGAGCAAGAGAGCTGAGCACCTTCAGGGAGGAGGCTCGCTGGTGGATGGGGTGCCTCTGGGCACTTGGTGGAGCTAAAGAGTTTGTAACACTTGTCCAAACAGGGACTGAGGGGCTGAGGGGCTGAGGGGCCGCGGGGCCAAGGGGCTGAGGGGCTGAGGGGCCAAGGGGCTGAGGTGCAGAGAGATGCCTGCCTTCGGGCACGGCTGAGAAGCTGTCCTGCCGAAGAACTGTATCCTGAGTCATTTCTGATCCTTCTTCATCCCACTACCTCATGGCCAGAGTCCTATCTCTGGGTTTCCAGTCTTATAAACTCTCTAGTACTTGGGCTTACTAGTGCTTTCTGCATGGACCTGACTCTCAATATCCCCCCTTCCTGCATCTTGGATTTCACCTGGCTTCAGCTGGAGGGAGGGGTCCTCCCATCCTCCCAGGAAGACTACTCTAAGGCCAGCTACTGCCATCTGGACTCTAGGGCTGTCCTCCGCTCATCTCTGGAGCAGACCCCCCACACTGTCATCTTTAATCCCTCCTTGCCAATTCTGTTTGTAATGAGAAGAGCTAAAGGCCTGAAGGAGACAGAATTCCAATCCTGGCCTAGCCACATATGATTAGTGCTATTAGTTATTAATAATAAAAATAATAGCAGGTAACATTTATTGAACAATCATACACTATATCAAGCACCCTCTGTAATGTATCTAACACTCACAACCTTTTAAAAGTCTCCATCCCACAAACGGGAGAACTGGGATTCAGAGCGGCGATGTGATCGGTGTAAGATCACCCAGCCAAAACCAGAGGTCAAGGACCACATTTTCTGTCAATGACAACAGCTGACTGGATGATGAGCTTACCACTTAAATAGAGCCCTCAGACAGCCCTGCTCTTGAGACCTTTATGTATTATCTAGTTAGGAGAACTAGGGAAGCTCACTCTCCATCAAGACATGGCCTTTTAAAGTCACCAGCAAAATAGGTGTAGTTAGCAGTGACCTTCTTCAAGAGACAAAAGGACCTATTTCAAACGGGCAAACACTATAGCAACGTTCAAGTGCAAAGCATCACCCAGCACATTAGGAACCCACAGCAGGTTGGCAAATGAGCTGCCTATAGGCTTCCAGCCTCCCTGTGGCCCCATGGAAGGAAGTCAACTGCTTGCTCCGCTTCCCTGCTTGAATTTCCAAAAACAATTCCCTCAGAGTCAGTATTCCAAAACCAAATGTATGCTCTTTCCTTTCCAAACTCATCGTGTACCATCCCCCTAGAAACCAAGCCTAGGAGTCATCTTTGACGCTTCCTCTCCCTCACACTCCATATCTATTCCTTCACCAAGTTCTGTAGATTCTGCCTCCTAAATATTTCTCCAGCCCTGCCCATCCCTCCACTGTCCTCTCCGTCACCTAGTCTACTCCCAGCCAACATCACATCTCACCGGGGACTAGTGCCGTGACCGCTTACTAACAGTCACCTCCCGGCACCCATTCTGCTCTTTCTCCACTCCTAGCCACTCTCTTGCCAACCCCAGGGGTTGGCAAAGAATCCTGAATATATCATGGGCTACCAGAAGAACACACAAAGAAGTCTTAGAAGAAATGCAACCAGAATGCTCCTTAGAAGTGGGATGGAGAGACTTCAACCCGCTTACTTTGGACACATCATAGGAAAAGACCAGTCACTAGGAAAGGACCCCATGTTTGGTAGAAGGGAAATGAGGGAAACCCTCAGTGAGATGGATTGACCCAATAGCCACAACAACGGGCTCAAACATACCAACTATCATGAAGACACAGGATGGGGCAATATCGTATTGTGTTATACACAAGGTAACCATGAGTGGGAGCCAACTGGACAGCAGCTAACAACAACGAATCCACTCTTTTCAAAATACAATTCTGAGGGTTATTACGGTGCACTCTAAACCGCCCTCAGGTTTACAAATGACTGATGCAATACTGGGGACACACTTTTACTAAAAAGTCTTCACCGTTTATTACATTCAAATGTTACTGGGCGTTGCGTGTTTTATCTGGCGGTCCTATGTGCTGCTACTGAGAGACAAGTGTAGACTGCACATGGCCGCCTCAGCCTCCGTGGCTCCCAGTGGAGTCCCTGGGTCTGGGGCTGCCCAGGTCTGTGTATCAGAAAATGCCTGACTATGGCTAGGCTTCCAGTAACAACCACCTGACCCTTCCCATGCCCTTCCTAAACCAGAATTTGCTCTGAGACATTCTTACTTGCAAAAAAAAAGAAAGGATCCCATTTCGGGATGAAATTTTTTTGTTGGTTTTAAACAACGGATGCGTAGTCCAGGACCTTTGCGTTTAACTCCACTGCCCCCTGGTGGAAGTAGCTGTAATTGTTCCTCTACATGGCAGCCACCAGGCAGTTCCTGCGTGCATTCACCCAGTCAGTGAGCGTTGCTTGTAGGCCTATTGTGTGCAAGCTCTGTGCTGTGACTGGAGGGGACCTGAGATCTGAGGTAGTGTGGGATAGTAAAAGGAGCCAGAGACCTCTAGCACCCACTAGCGCCCACTCTAGCTCTGTCCATCTCACCGAAAGTTTCCCTCATTTTTGCTGACCCTCTATTTTACCAAACCACCCTAGTTACACTGCCTAGGGTGAGTTCCTTAACCTCTCTGTATTTCAGATTCCTCATTGTATAATGGAAACCATAATTATCAAGTTACTTTTGTAAATACCGAAGTAGGTAAAACCAAAAACCCAAACAAACCCTATGCTGTTGAGTTGATTCAGACTCACAGCGACCCCATAGGGTTTCCAAGGCTGTAAATCTCTATGGAACCAGACTGCCACATCTTTCTCCCCTGGAGCTGATGGTGGGTTCAAACCGCCGATCTTTCGGTGTGCAGTTAAGTGTCTTAACCTCTGCACCACCAGGCTCCTGAAATAGGTAGAAAGATCTAAAATTCCCCATAGATAGTAAGCACTCAGTTGAACTTGAACTGAGATCAGTTTAGTCTATGCACACTAGGTTATTTGGAAATTCCTGTGGGCCCATAGTCAGGCCATTCTCTAGACCTGGGGAGAAAAATCTAACCGAAGTTCTCTGAAATTGGGAGATATGTGAAAGTTGCCTACATTACTGGATCACAATTTTCCATTTTCTCAATGTTTTATAGATGAGGTCTCATCAGCTCTTCACCATGATCTGCCCAGCAGGGAGTTGTCCTCCATTTTACAGATGGGGAGACTGAGGCTCAGAGAGGGTGAGTAAGTCACTCAGGTCACCATGCCAAGCATGGCAGCATCAGAATGAGGGCTGCAGAGACAAATGCTACAGGGCCAGGCAGGTAAGACAAACGGGGGAGCGGGCAGGAGGATGGCAATAGGACACGCTGGGAACTGGACATGGAGGGGACGTATGCTCGGTCCAGAAAGGGCAGAGGCTGCTGAAGCCCCCCTCCTGATGCCGTGGAGAAGGTACACAGCCCACCCGCACCGCCCCCTGTTCTCAGGAAGTCAGGATTTTGTGTATTAGGTTGAACATATGAAATCGCTGATGTTCAACTATTTTTGGCCTACAAAAACGGAAATTCCGTAGTGTTCAACTTCATCAAATATCCCAGGTTTTAAAAAATGATGCAGTTTAAACCAAGCAGGTCCATGGGACAGTTTCGGCTCATAGGCTGCTAGTCTATGACCCCCTCCCGACACCACCCAGGAGAATTTCCTTTCTCACTGAGGAAAAGACACTGGCTGTTTTGGAAGTCAGCCACCCAAAGGCTCAGGTTATCCCAGAGAACTCACATCAGTCTTCATTTTTACTCAGAACCTTTCAGTTATAGCTCAGGTCTGGGTGTGTTCTTTAAAACAGTCAGGTTAGCCATTTGACTAACTAGAAACTACCTGGTTATTTGGCTGAGTGCTATAATGCATCTCCCTTTTTTATATTTATGATTTCAATCTTTTCAATTACTTATAAGTGTACATAATTTATGAAATAGATAAATATGATTCTCCTTCCAGAATGTCCACTTTTCTGTAAATTCTTTCCATTGTTGACAGCTGGGCAACATATTCAATAATTTGCTTTTCTATTTCACCCAACTTTTGTGGTTGTTTGCCCCAGATGTATTATTTAATATATCTAGTCTACCATATTTCCACAAATAAAAGTCTGCTCTACATGTGTCTTATAGTCAAATATTGCTTGGACTCTTTTTGATTCAATGAATAAATCTCTGTCATTTGAAAATATATATATATATATATATACGATTCTATCCACACTTTTTATAAGCAACCAGTTCCTGTCGAGTCAACTCCAACTCATACCAACCCCCACATGTGTCAGAGTAGACCTGTACTCCATAAGGTTTTCAATGCTTGATTTTTCAAAAGCAGATTGCCAAGCCTTTCTTCCAAGGCATCTCTGAGTGCACTCGAACCTCCAACCCCTGGTTAGCAGCTGAGCGCATTAACCATTTGCACTACCCAGGGACTTCTTTTCTGCTTATTCCCCTCCTCCCCTGCTCCTGCTTCTCCATAGGCCGTGCTAGCCAAGGTAACCCATGCATCCTTTATATACGTACATATGACAATCTGATTCTGTTTGTGTCTACAGAGGAACAACTGAGTGCCGTGACTAGTACAGATGAGCCATACGTGCATATATAATGGATCTGGTTTGCTTGTTCATTTATAAAAAATAGAATCGTATCATCTTATCTGTAGCTTGTGTTTTGTACCGTATTACCAAAATATATTGTGGAATTCTCTCCAAGTCAACTGCTCTACCTCTAATGCACTCTTTTAATGGCTGTATAAATATTCATGGTGGATACTTATTTATTCAGCCATCCACCTTGTGAAGATCAGTCACTTGGTTCCCAGTTTTTTGCTACAATGAACAAGAACAGAGTAGACGTGCTGGGACATATGTCTTCTCTGTCTGCTGCTTTAATGGCTGGGATGGCTGGGTCAGGTGGACATAGGTGTTTAATTTTAATAGCAGTTGCCAGTTGCTCTGTTAAAGGTGCTATAGCACTTCAGATGCCCATCAGCGGCATAGGAGAGTAAGGGTCTTCTGCTTCTTCAGAGGCCATGTGTCTCACACGTTGAAGCCCCCAGCGCCCCTTGTGAGCAGGGGCTTTGGCAGGAGACACGAAGGACAGAGGGCCCAGCAGTGGGCAAACCCCAGAGGCTGGCCGGCTCCGCTTACCTGTTGTAGCTCTGGATCAGATCGAAAATCATCATGTCTGTGGTGTTGACAAACTTGCATTGGACGGGCATGAACTCTCCCTCTGCAGTACACTGCGGGGGCGACTTGTCCCCCACCCCATGGAGAATGCGGCGGTTTCTTATCTCACAGCTCCTTGGACCTAAACATTTTCGAGGAGAAAGTCCTGAATTCTTATGTCGGAGTGGGTGCCTATTCTACAATCAAGGTGCATATACACATACTACATCTGTGACAGGTAAAGACTCACATGGTGACTGAGTCTGCAGCGGGAAGCTTGCAAACGCCCGCTGAAATCCTACTTACCCTTCTAACGATCAGCTAATGAGTACTGATTATCTACCGTATGGAAATATAAGAAGTAATAAAACCATTCAAAACACTTTCATTTTCAAACAATTTGGCAGTTCTTCAAAAAGTTAAATATAGAACTACCACGTTGGTATGTTGTTAGGTACCGTCAAGTTACTTCCGACTCATAGCGACCCCATGTACAACAGAACAAAACACTGCCCCGTCCTGCGCCATCCTCACAATCGTTTTTATGCCTGAGCCCATTGTTGCAGCCACTGGGTCAATCCATCTTGTTGAGGGTCTTCCTCTTTTTCGCTGACCCTCTACTTTACCAGGCATGATGTCCTTCTCCAGGGACTGGTCCCTTCTATAACATCTCCAAAATACATGAGACGAAGTCTCGCTATCCTTGCTTCTAAGGAGCATTCTGGCTGTACTAGCTATACTTCTTCCAAGATACAGAACTACCATATGACCCAGCAATTCCATTCCTAGGTATATAGCCAAGAGACTTGAAATCAGGGACTCAAACAGATACATTTGAACATTGGCTCATTGCAACATTATTCACAATGGCCAAATGGTGGGAACAGCCCAAGTGTCCGACAACAGATGAATGGATAAACAAATTGTGTTATATTCATCCAATGGAATATTATTCAGAAATGAAATTCTGATATATGAACTTTGAAAACTTTATACTGAGTGAAATAAGTCAGACACAAGGGGACAAATATTGTATGTTTCCACTTATATGAAATATCTAGGATAAGCAAATGCATAGAGAAACCATTTATTAGTGGTTACCAAGGGCAGAGGGAGGGGGCATGGGGAGTTACTGCTGAAGGCGCGCTGAGTTTCTGTTTCGGGTGATGAAAACCTTTTGGAAATAGGTAGTGGGGATGGTAGCACAACATGGTAAATATAATTAATGCCACCAAATTGTACATTTACAGAGGTTAAAATGGCAAAAAAAAAAAAAATTAAATATATTTTACCACAATAAAATTATTTTTAAAAAAGCTTTCGTTTTCTCTATTGAGGGACAGGTGCTCTGCCTTTCGTCAGGGAGGCCTGGAAGCTCCAGCTTTTGGGGTTGAGATCTGCACACCTCCCTTCCCCTCGGGGCGTGGAGCTCAGCGACACTTACAGCGTGTTGGCCTGCCTCGCTGGCGGGTGCCGTACACCTCCATGCCCTCGGCATCCACACACCAGCACTGCAGCTGCCACACGTCACACTGGACGGGCGCGTAACCCCCCGAATCTTGACACTGGGGCAGGTAGGATGTGGCTGTGCTGTTAAGGTAGCCGCTCACCAAGATTTGCTGCTTCTGCAGCTGACAAAATGACTGACCTAGGGTGCAAGGAGAAGACTTAGAGGGAAACTTCAAGGGGTCTCAGTGCCTGGAGAACTCAGGATCCCTCCCTAGAGGAACACAGCTGAGAGAAATGGCCCGCCGGGGTCCCCACAGGGAGCTGCAGAGGGCGGGGGCTAGCGTGCAAACCATCCAGCTTCCTTCCAGCTCCCATGTGGATGGAGTCAGAGCAGGCACCTCTCAGAAGTGCTGCCTCATCAACCGGGCATCCCGAGCCATGGCCGTGCAGAGGAGAGACGTGGATGGAGCTCAGGCGTAGGGGTGCGCTGGGGTTGTGTGGATCGGAGTTTCTCCACATGGTTGTACGCACAGGGTGAAACCCTGTAACGCTCTGGGCCTCACTTTCCTTATCTATAAAGTTGAAATAAAACTGCCTCCTGCTGGGTGTCTGAGGATTTGTGACTCACCCAAAAAGAAAAAAGAAAAAAACACCAAACCCATTGCCATTGAGTCAATTCCAACTCATGGCAAGCCCATGTGTTACAGAGTAGAACTCAGCTCCATAGGGTTTTCTTGGCTGTAAACTTTATGGAAACAGATCACCAGGCCTTTCTTCCATGGCACTGCTAGGTGGGTCCGAGCAACCAACCTTTCAACTGGCAGCTGATCAAAAGCCATTTGTGCCACCCAGGAACCCTGGTCTTCTACCCATTGCCTTTGAGTTGATTCCTACTCATAGCAGCCCTATATGAGTGGTCTTCTACATGTGCTTAAACCCTCCCAATAACCCCAGGAGGCAGATCTGACCCTCATGATACAGATGAGGGACTGTAGTTGAGAGAGGGTGTGTGACGTGCTGAGTTCATTCATCTGGAGAGCGTTAGGAGCCAGCCCGGCCCCAGGCCAGCCATGATGGTCGCATAGATCTGGCTCAGGGTCCAGGCCACAGCTTTTAGCCATTAAACAATAGTTTTGTTTTTAGGTCCAATATCGCCATTATAAGGTGATCAGCTTAAACTGACCTTTGTTTCAGGACTGACTGTGACATGCTTTAAATGGGAGCTGTGTTTCTTTGACTACTCAAAACACATTGCTGTTGAGCCAATTCCAACTCATAGTGACCCTATAGGAAAGAGTAGAACTGCCCCATAAGCTTTCCAAGGAGTAGCTGGTGGATTCCAACTGCCAACCTTTAAGTTAGCAGCCAAGATCCTAACCACTGTGCCTACTCAAGGGAATACTGTTTTAACTGGACAGTTATCACCCAAGTCACCTCCGGCCACAGGTAAGAAAACACCACGTTCACAGGGCTGCTTGCTAGTTTCTGGGACAGTGGGGCTTTTTCTCAGCACCAAGCACAGTGCCTGGCCCCTGGAAGCACTCAACAGCTCTTTGCTGAACAAAGGGATTGTTTGTCTTGTTTGATGTCACAGTGGTCCTGCGGGAATCAGGGCCCTGCGTGCAGGGAAGGTTCTCCCTCAAAGAGGAGGAGCCGCCCAGAGGGGAAATTTGCCAGGTTACAAGCTCCTAGCCCAGTGCTCCTCCCAGGAAATGGCCTTGCCTTGCAAGGTCCCTCCTATCCCATCGTAATACCCTCCATGCCTCCCACACCCCATTATCCCGGTCCACACTTACAAGACACCAGCCGCCCAGGCTGCCTGCTGCCCGGCACCTCCCTGCCGTCGGCATCCACGCACCAACAGGCCCGGCCGTCCTTCCTGCACTGAACAGCCCTAAGGGCGGAAGACATACCAGGTGGGACACTGTTAGCTGCTCCCCAGCCACAAGCTGAGTCCAACCTGAGTCGTCGTCTGTCCGCTCCTTCGAGCTTTGATTCACTTCAGTTAGACAGGAGAGATCCCCGTGGGTTGGGGTGGCGATTTAGGAGAGGAAAACACCCTTCTCCCGCCTTGGTGCGCCAGGGCTGGTGGATGTGCGAGTGCCCCTGTGTTTAGGAGCCTGTGGAGGGGAGAGGCCGTGCTCTCACCCATGCGCAAGGGGTGATGGAAGACCTCAGGAGCTCAGGGCCCCGGGGAGACCCGGGCTTTAGTTTCACAGGGAGCACTCGGGTGGGGTCAGACCAGCATGGAGGATGATGGTTAAATGGAACCCTCGGAATGATCAGGAGTTATCCTGGGGGGTGGGGGATGGCGGGGGGAAGAAGAGGGATTGAAAAGAAGGAAAAAGATGCTCCAGGTAAAGAGAGCAGCATTTACAAAGCCCCCTGAGGAGGAATGGGGCAAGTCTGAAACTGCAAGTGGCTGGAACCACACAGGTGCAGGAAAAAAAAAAAAAAATTAAACCCGTTGCTGTCGAGTGGATTCCAACTCACAGCGACCCTGTAGGGCAGAGTCGAACTGCCCCATAGGGTTTCCAAGGAGTGGCTGGTGGATTTGAACTGCCAACCTTTTTTAATTAGTAGAGAGGTACATAAATAAGGCTGGCAAAGGTGCAAGATCCCCTTAACTCCTTCCTTGCCACGCCGTAATTCCCAGAGAGCCCCTGGGGCTGAGCTGGAAGTATCTCTTCGCCCTTGGGAGGATGTAAGGCTTTTGTGAGGCACCTGAATTGTGCAGATAGGATGGTGTAGGTTCGGAAAGCAACGTTTCCCAGAGCACTGTTGTCAGCCAGGGAATCACATCTCTTGTTAATACAGGGCGTTCCCCTGAGACCACGTGGGACGTGTAAACTGCATGCACATCACAAGGATTGTCTATTCCACAGGGGCATTGTTTAGTTATCACCCTACTCTGCACAGAGGACGCCCCAGGACCCAAGTTTGTGTTAGGGTGGCTGGAAAATCCCTTTAGAGGGGGCTTGTCTATCCAGGAGGGGGCTGCAGGGTGGCCCAGACAGGGGGACTGGACTGGGCGGAGGCAACCACCGACCTGAAAGTCAGCCACCTCCACTTCCTTCCCCCTGTGACTTTTTCAGAGGATGCTAGGAGGAGGGGATGCCCAAAGTATAACTCATTTGCTCACCCCACTCCCTTTTTAAAAGGAGTTATGGTCAAAGCTTTGGTAGGGAAAGAAGTGCTATCTCTGGTCCAGACTAGGAAGAACCTGGGGGTGAGGGGCTCCCTCCCAGATGTATCAGTTGCTCATTGCAGTGTTCATTAGCCTCAGGGATCGAGAGGCAGCACCCTCCAAATGACAGTGGCACCTTCTAAATAACAGTGACCCCCACATCGTGTACCCAAGGAGACAGACGCGCATAGTGAGGACGCAGGGGAAGGAATGAGACAGTCTTTAAGGGCTGAGGACCCTGAGCCCCCACAGCTCTGGAATAAGCCTTACTGGAAACTGCCATCTTCAGAGCACTGGGGAACATAGTCTTCTCGCTTCAGAAAAGCCCTTTCCCGCTGCAATTCGCACGGACGGAGGGGCTGCATGTCCACCTGGTATTCTGCAAGAAGGGAAGCAGTTCGTCAGCGAAGAAGGTGGACTGGGTTTTTTCCATCACAGGGATGGCGCTCCTGAAGCACAGATGCTGTTTGGTTGTTTGTTTTGTCTTCCCAGCCTCGTCATCTTTAGCTATTACATTGCAACTTGCAGTTCTGCACCTATGCCCACTTTTCCAAGTGTGTACATTAGCATAGTTCATCCTCAGAACTACTCTGAGAGGTGAGACCTCCATTCTAGCCACGTAGCACTAAGACTCAGGCAGGGAAATCACTTGCCGAGGGATACAGAGCTGGGAAGTGAGGGATTTGAAGCAAACCCTCCGACTCCACATTCCCCCAGGCTGCTGGGTTAGGTTCCCCAGGTTCGGGAAGTGGTTTTGCATTTATCAAGGTTCTCCGTGCAGACAAAGCCTCTCTCTGACGCAGAGCTGGAATAGCAATTCATTAGTAACTCATGTGGGTCTTATTTTCCATTCAGAATGTGCGTAATATGCACAGTCTTACTCAGAAATCGCAACCGTTTCTTGCTTTTCCAATGAGGAAACCAGGGTTTGAACTTTGCCCAAAGTCACAGGGTTTCTAAGGGGCTGAGCCAGGGCTAGAACCTAGATCCCTTTACTCCACAAGTAAATTTATTTTTCTGCCACTGCTGGCTACCTCTCAAATCCCTCACGTGGCTGACCCAGGCCTTGGGGTAGATAAGGAGATAAAAAACCAATGTCAGTGTCCAAGGTTTGCTAAAAGGGCAGTTGTTGGGGGGAAGGAGTGGGTAGAGTGACTAGAATTGAATTAGGAAGATCCGGTTTCCCATCTCAGCTCCGCCAACCACTAGTTCTGTGACCTCAGGCAATTCAGTTCACCCCTCTGAACCTCTGTCTCTTCTTCCGAAAAGGAAAAAAAAAAAACTGACCTCCAAGCATTGTGGGGATAAAATGAGGTCACAATGTTCAAAGGCCTAGGACAGAGCCCAGCAGACTTAGGAAACCCGTGCCTGAGCCCTCCCTCCCCGGCACTCCTCCCCATGGCCTCGGGCTCAGAACTCACCGAAGATGTTGGCCCACGCTGAGCTGGCTGAACCCAGCAGCCCAAAGACCCACAGGACCAGGGCCATTTTTCTGGCCCCTTCTGGGATGAAGGGGTAAAAGCCACTGCCCACTGGAGCCCTCTGGTCAGGGAGCCTTTATAAGGCTACTGCTGGCAAGGACTCTCCCTCCGGCGGCGCTGCCAGGAATGCGGGGACCCCTCTGTTTTCTTTGCTGGTCATGAGAAGCACTCTCCACCTGCGTCCACCCCTCCAAGGACACTTGTGCGACCAGTGGGGCACGAGAAACTTGTCCAGGCTATGGGGAGCCGCCTCGGGCAGGGTCGCTTGGAAAACCATCTTCATGGGCGACAGCAAAAGCTCTGCGGCCTTATGGGCAACAGGCTCAGATCCAGCATGGGGGAAAAGCAATCCCTTCCTTCATTTGTTCATTCCTCCCTCCCTTCTTTCTTTCTTTCCTTTTTCCCTCCCTCTCTTCTTTCCTCCTTCCCTCCCTCCTTCCTTCCTCTCTCCCTCCTCCATCTCTCTCTCCTTCTTTCCTTACTCTCTCCCTCCTTCCTTCCCTTCGTTCTTTCCTTTTCCCTTCCCTCCTTCCTTTTCCCCCTTCCTCCCTCCCTCCTTTCTCTTTCCCTTGCTCCCCTTTTTCAGGGTACTTCTGGCAGCCAGCACAGGGCTCTGTAGAATATGCAATACATCCAAGATGGCTGGGAAATCCCTCAGCCAGCGCCCCCAGCCTCCAGAGCTGCTACCACTCATTCTAAATTAGACTCCTCATCCCCTCCCCGGGCTCCTGGCTGTCAGCTCCCTGAGCTTTACATACCTTCCAGGTCTTATCACAACCTAACATTATCTCGCCTAATCACTGACTTCATTGTCTGTCTACCCCATTGGAATATGGGCTCCATGAGGTGCCGAGATTTTTGTCTGAGTCCCCTCTTGTCTCTGGGTCCTAGGACAGAGCCTGGAACATGAACAGCCTATAACAAACATGGCTGAGTGAACGAATGAATGAGTGGTATAGTAGCTAAGAGCTTGGACACTGAATACAGACTGCCTCCATCAAATGCTGGTCCTCGATAAACACTGGCTAACCATGTGAACTTGACAAGACATTTAACCTCCTGCCCCTCAGTCACCTCGTTTTTAAAACAGGGGTAATTACAGACCCTATATAATAGAATTGCTGTGAATATTAGAAGAGTTAAAGCGTGTGAAGTGCTTAAAACAGTGTTCGCAGGACAGGAAGTGTTGGCTACTATCATTGTTACTATGTTCATGAGACAAACTATGGAACGTGAAACTCAACAGTCATTTTAACACGCAGGTGCGGGGCAAGAAACTCTGCCCTGCACATCTCCTGGGAAATCACGTACGCCCAGGCGCCACACCTGTCCCTCTCCCTCTCTTCTCTCTTCTCTCTCTCTCACCATCTTCATCTCTCTATCTCTGTCTCTCTCTCTTCTCTGTATTTCTATCTCCAGCTTCATCTCTCTGTACCTCTATTTCTGTCTCTCTACCTCTCTCTGTCTCTTTACCTCTCTCTATCCCTGTCTCTCTCTCTGTTTCTATCTCCATCTCTCTCTCTCTCTCTCCATCTCCGTCTCCATCTCTCTCTCCAGCCAGATTTCTCCATTAAGCTTCAGATTCACTCATCCAGCCACCTGCTGGACATCTCTGCCCGGATGCTTCACAAACGAGAAAGCAGCTACCTTCAATTCACGGTGCCTCGGTGTGTGTCAGAGAAGAACTGCGCTCCATGGGGTTTGCAAGGCCGTGACCTTTCAGAAGCAAATTGCCAGGTCTTTCTTTTAAGACACCTCTGGGTAGGTTAGAACCACCAATCTTTCAGTTAGCAGTCAACCGCTTAACTGTCTGCGCCTCCCAGGAATCTTGGATTCTCCACAGACATTTCAAACTCAGCAAGTCACACACTGAACTCTCAACACTTCTTCTAACACTGTACCTTCCCGTGCCTTTGCTGCCTCTGTGATTGCAAACCCCACTGAGATTCTAAACACCTTCTCCTCACGTCTAATCAGCTCCAAACCCTAGAGGGTTACCCCTCATTCACGTTCCACCGTTCCTCTCCACAATTGTCCCCACTGCCAGCCTTCCTTCAGGCCCTTGCTGCCTCTTGACGAGCCGGCCAGAACCTGTTGTCATCAAGTCGATTCCAACTCATAGCAACCCTATAGGACAGAGTAGAACTGCCCCATAGGGTTTCCAAGGTTGTAATCCACTGAAGCTGACTGCCACATCCTTCTCCTGCAGAGCGGCTGGTTAGCATCTGAAACCACCTCCTAACTGGCCTTTCCACCTCATCCCTGATCCTCTCTGAGGCTTCTTCTCCAGATGAGGGGCAAAGCCTCGTCAAATGCACCATGCGGTAATGATGGAGACTCACTCCACAGGTGACCAGCAGGAGGCATCTTGGGGAGTCTCGGGGAGTGATGGAGGGGAAAGGAGAAACCAGAGTTCCATGTCAGGCAAAGTGACTGGAGAGACGGTGTTGACATCTACTGGGAAAAGAAATGCAAGAGGAAGAGCTCCCCTGCCCACCCTCTTCCACCCCAGCTGCCCAGGCCAAGTTACACCCACACTGTGTAGGCCCAGGTGCATCCTTTCCCTACAACTATATAATAAGCATGGAGCCCTGGTGTCGCAGTGGTTAAGAGCTCGTCTGCTAACCAAAAGGACGGCAGTTGGAATCTACCAGCTGATCCTTGGAAACACTATGGGGCAGTTCTATCCTGTCCTATATGGTTGCTATGAGTCAGAATTGACTTGACAGCAACGGGTTTGATCTGTTGTTGTTGTTATTGTTATTTAATAAGCATAGGGTCAAGCAGTCCGGTCCTGCTTTTCCATTTCCATGTATTCTAAAGCAGATGAGTCTTATAAAAATTTAGAACAGAGTTGGAACAGGAACCCCATACCATGCTTTTCCTCACCCTGGAACGACTGCATCAAGCTTGCGTGGCTGGCCCTGTGCTGATTCATGCTCGCTGGCCTGGGCCCTGGGATGTGCAGTGGGGAATCAACACATCCAGGCCCACGCCAGGCCTGTCTCTGCTCCACTGGGTTTGGTGCTTTAGGGACTATGGACTTGGCTGTGAGCAGGCCAGGATGCCCTGAATGAAGGGTGCTCTGGGGGAGTGAAGGGCAGCCGTGAGCTCACTCCACTTCAGTCCGCCCCTGGAGCAGGTGACGTCAGCAGTTAGTGAGAGCACTCAGTGGGCCAGAACTTCCTTCAGAATCAACACTTGGAGCCAGTCTGGGTTGAGCTTGCCCACGTGCCCCAGAAGGAGAGGTGCTTCTCTCCACCCAAGCAACAGAGCAGTGAACCCAAAGAGAACCAAACCAAGGCACTGCCTCCTCACCGTGAAAATCTCCCTCTCAGAGTGACTCAGTCATTTTTCCCTGCTCTGGCCTCAGCTCCACTGAGCTCCCTGAGCATGCAGGCTCCACTGGCCTCAGCTCCACTGAGCTCCCTGAGCATGCAGGCTCCACTGGCCTCAGC